AATATTAATATTAATATAAGACCCTGTCTTATTTTCAGGGAAACATGATAATAATAAATAAATAGAAGTAAATATATAACAATAAATTTATTATTATACAGTGGTGCCTCGCTTAACGAGCGCACCGTATAACGATGAAATCGCATAGCGATCCGTTTTTTCGGATCGCTAATGCGATCGCTCAACGTTTATTAAATGGGGAAAAATTCGCTTTGCGAAGACCGGTAAGCGTTTCGCTTACCGATCTTCGCAAATAAATAAATAGAAGTAAATATATAACAATAAATTTATTATTATACAGTGGTGCCTCGCTTAACGAGCGCACCGTATAACGATGAAATCGCATAGCGATCCGTTTTTTCGGATCGCTAATGCGATCGCTCAACGTTTATTAAATGGGGAAAAATTCGCTTTGCGAAGACCGGTAAGCGTTTCGCTTACCGATCTTCGCAAAACGAACCCCGACGATCAGCTGTTCGGCGGCCAAAATGGCCACCGGAAGCCGGGAAATGGCCCAAAATGGCCGCGCGCATCGTTTTCGCGCCCTCGTTAAGCGAGGCGAGGGCGCGAAAATGGCTGCCGGCCATCCTGAAGCTTCGCTGAACGGTGAGTATTTGGCCCATTTGGAACGCATTAAACGATGTTTAATGCGTTCCAATGGAAATCCCTGCCCCGTTCAGCGATGCTTCAGCATAGCGAAGGTTAATCCGGAACGGATTAACCTCGCTATGCGAGGCACCACTGTACATTGATAGTTGTCATTGAGATGTAAATACTAATGACTCCAGGTTTCCTAAGGATATGAATTTAAAACACAAGTGGCTATAGGAACAAAGTCAAGTTAAAGCATTAATGCACAATTGAAAAGTACTGATAGCAGAGTAGCAGCCAGCCCAGTAACTATTAGCGCTACTACTCCACTGTTAGTGGCTCATACTCTGCTCCTTCCAACAACTGATCACTGGACTACAACCAAAAGATTAGGAAATTTCAGATAAAGAGTATTGTTTTCTGGCAGGAGATGTGATCAAGTGAGTTTTAAAGAGCAAATTATATTGGAAGGTTTCTTCCCAAATTTGGAAATAATGGCCACAGTTGCTCTGGTCTTCCTGAAAATGATAATCAACTATAAGATACCTTAGAAACATTCCTAGAATAACAAGTTGGACGCAACTTGATGTGTTCAGAAATAATTCCAGTGAGTTAAGTGGGATTTTTTCCCAGATAATCTGTAGGATTGCAACAAAATATGAAGAATAAACTCTTTCTGAGTTTATTCTGTCAGTGAAGCTAAGTAGATGTAAACTAAGTTAGGGTTAGAGGGCCAATTATAATGAAAGATATTGAAATGATTGAGTTTTTTTGAAATACTAGCAATCTTGTCTGTAATTGTTTCTGCTGCTGTTATGTTCCATCAAGTTCCCTCTGGGTTATAATGACCCTAAGAATGAATGACCTCCAAAATACTTTGTCCTCAACAGCCCTGCTCAGCTCTTGTAAAAACTCAAGGTTATGGCTTTCTCTAGGAGTCAGTCTATCTCCTATTCCATCTTCTTCTCTTTCTTAAACTTTCCCCATTGCTAGCTGTCTTTTCCAATAAGGCATGTCTCCTCATGTGCCCAAAGTAAAATAGCCTCAGTTTAGCCATTTTTGCTTCTAAAGAAAGTTCAGGCTCTTTCTGGTGGTTCAGGGTATTTGCAAAGCTCTCTAGCAGCACCATATTTGAAATGAATTAAGGTTTTTCCTATCTGCTTTCTGCACTGTCGAGCTTTCAGATCCATGTGTAGCAATTAGAAATACTAATTGTTCATGATTGTGGCTTTGGCCTCCAGTGACACATCCTTACAGTTCATGATCCTCTCTATTTTCTGCACAGTTGCCTTCCTAAATCTCACTGTTGTTTTGATTTCTTGGCCTTTAGTTTGTTTCAAAGAACACAATAATTCTATTTCTTGTATTAAAAATGTTGCTACAAAAGGCCACCTAATGTAAGACAGGCCAGAATTAGCAAGAAATCATGAGAGGCTGGCCAGTCCCACAGAGTGACCAAGCTCTGATGAGTTGTTGATTATTTTGATGATGTCAGTATGCACAGATTTCTTAAGGCTCTGACATTTTCCATAGCAATTTATGAAATATTACACCATACAATTCACTTTTAAGGCAGTAATACTGGGAACATGTTCCTTTTAACTCAGTGAAGCACTTCATAGTAGGCACAGAATAGCAAAGCAAAATTATTATTCAAAAAAAATTTAAAATGTTATGAATAAAACAACACACTGCTTTTCCAGGTTCTCTATTGTGCTATTTGTGTGCAAGACAGAGACCTGATTCAAGATGAAATATGCATAGCATTGTGCCCATATAAAGGCTAGCATATTTCCATTTGAAGGCACTGGATTCACTATTGAATGCTGAAATGTGGGAGGGTTTTTTATGCATTGAGAACTATTTGCACCCATAAATGATAAAAAACCAGAATAGTCACTTGTATGACTAATAATAAATAAATTGTCAGAATTAAAATGAATATTTACATCTTATTAAGAGCACTGGCATAACTTGGAGCAGCAAATAGCCACCAATTAATGAGTCCTTGATTAAATTCTCAACTGGCTGGAAAACCCAGTGGTTTAGATAACTGGCTGTGGAGCCAGAGGTTGATTCCCCACTGGACCTCCAGGGAGAAGAGCCAGCCTGTGTGACCTTAGGCAAGCTGCACAATCCCAGGGCAACCCCGGAAGAAAGGAATAGTAACCCAGTTCTAAATATTCTGTACCTGGAATACCTTGAAAAGGATTACCATAAGTCAGAATTTATTTGATGGCATGTTGTTGTTGTTGTTGCTGCTGCTGCTGTTAAAACGATCAGTAATGCACCAGCTGTGTGACTTGGCACATGACCAGAAATTCAATTGCAGACTTCTTAATTAGCAGCTGTTTTCTGTTCTGAGTTATTCCAGTGTTCTTACACAAGCATAAATATACAGTTGGATTCTGAGTAACAAACTCACTACTTGATGTAATTCAGATATGGGGTATTTCGCATCTGAATGAATAAAGTTTTGCTAGCTTTAATTTTATTTATTTATTTATTTATTTATTTATTTATTTATTTATTTATTTATTTATTGGATTTTTACCCCACCCCTCTAGACAATGTCTACAATGTCTTTAATAGCTCTACTTGAAGCTAAATTAATAATAAAAATGAAAAGACATGGTTTTAAAGTTTAAATTTAAAATTTTACATGTTCTATTAAAACTTTTGTCTTACAGGTCTTGAATCAACACGTCCAAATTTAATTCTTGGATTAGTCATTTGTCAGAAAGTTAAGCGTCCTGGAACTGTCTTGGAATCTGAAAAGAATGAAGAAAAGAGAAGTAGAATTCAGCTGCAGGAGGAATCTGAAATATCTGGGTACTCTAAAGGCACTACACTTTTACAAGAGAAGAAATCTCTAAAGTTTTCTCTTTATTCAGGAGAAACTAGTGTTAGTACTACTCCACCTGGATCTCCACCACCTCCACCCCCAAATCTGCCTTCAGAGTCACCTTCAACAGTAACACCTTCAATGTTAAAGATTATATCGTCCGTTAAAACAGCAACCACTGTTGCATCATCAAATGTTTCAGTGTCAGCAACAAGTACTGCATCTTCTACTGCTTCCTCATCTTCAAAATCATCCACACCACTTGATCACATCCTGCAAACACTTTTTGGGAAAAAGAAGTCTTTTGATCCTAATACCAAGGAATCTGAAGGTGCTCATACTTCAAAGTCTGAAGCACAGACTGTTGCTGATGAAGGATTACCTGGTGCTCCCTTATTTGATCCCATTGTGCAGCAGTTTGGACAGATGTCAAAAGATAAAGCTATAGAAGAGGAAGAAGATGACAGACCTTATGACCCTGAAGAAGAATATATCCCAGAAATAGCTTTTGAAATGCAAAGTAATGAAAACAGACTTGGAAAACAGTGTGAAACTTTAGAGCAAGAAGATGAGGCTTATGATCCAGAAGATGAAACTATCTTAGAAGAGGCTAAGGTTACCGTTGATGATTTGCCTAATAAAATGTATTCAGAATCAAAAAATAACTCCTTGGCAACATCTGCTCCTGATACAGTTTCAGCCCCATCCTTGGTAGAACAACAGAAAATGCTAGAAGAATTAAACAAACAAATAGAAGAACAGAAAAGACAACTAGAAGAACAAGAAGAAGCCCTCAGACAACAAAGAGCAGCTGTTGGTGTATCAATGGCTCATTTTTCAGTGTCGGATGCCTTAATGTCACCACCTCCAAAATCATCAGTAGCAAAAATGGAATTATATCAACATGAGAAACAAACTTCTGAAAAGTCTGAGCTATCTATATCCTTAAGCCAAACCCAAATGTTCAGCCAGTCAAGTGACCCTAGACAAAGTAGGGATCCTCGCCAAGCTAGGAGAATTGTAGCTGAGGGCAATGACTGTTCTGATTCTAATACAAAGCTGCACATGATACAGGTAGACTCTTCTGTGGGACAACTTCCTCCACCCAGCTATTCAGATCCACTGCAGACATCAGTAGACAAGGAAGATAAAACACTGGTTTCTTTTACTCCATCTAGCCACAATGATACATGGATTACAAGTGAAAAAGGCCCTGCCCTCTCTGAACAAGCTGTACCTATTAGTACTCCACCACTTCACCAAGAAACTTTAAACAAACCACCTCCTGTGGAAATGTCTACAACTGCACCTGTTCGTAAAGTACTGCTACCCACACCTCCCAATCCATGTTTCCTCCCTACTTTCTCTGCACCTAACAGTATTCAAGGTGTAGCTTGGTCAAATCAAGCTCAGACCAGTAATGTTCTAGGGGCAGTAAGGGATTCTTTTTCGAGTCCAGTGTTTACCTCTCACGAGACCATTCCTAGTCACTTTGAAGCAGAAAGAGGTCCATCAAATTATGAAGACCAAAGAAATCCTCAGTCTGGCCACTTTTATGAACAAATGGAACCTCCTGTAATCCAAAATGAGGAAGCAAGAGGTGTCCCCCCATTTCCTTCTGTTGGACAAAAAGGTGGTACTCCACTAATGTGTGGTGCTCTTGACTTTCAGGGACAGAGAGGTCCCCCACAACAGTTTACTGAAGGGCATAATATGCCACACAATAGTGATGGACAAAGAGGGGTTACACCAAACAGGTTTGGGACCCCAGGAGCACCAATTCCTTCATTATTTTCTGCACAGCCTGGACCTCCTCCCCTTTTTGGTGATAATAGGGGACCTACACCATCATTTCCTGGTGGTCAAAAAGAAAACACAGCCTCTCAGTTTGAAGAGCACATAGAACACAGAGAATTTCAAGATTCTCAATATCATGAAGTGAATGTGCCTTCTGCACAGTTTGAAGGACCTGAGCCTCCCCAATTTATAGGAAACAGAGGACCTGCACCCCTTTCTTTTGGGGGACAAAGAAGACCTCCCATGAATCAATTTAAAGGTCAAAGAGGGGGCCCATCACCTCAGTTTGGAGGACCAAGAGGTCCTCCACCCAATCATTTTGGAAACTCAAGAGGTCCTCCTCCAAATCAATTTGATGGACAAAGAGGGCCCACTCCTAGTCACATGCCAGCATCAAGGGGACTTCTACCACCACCATTTGAAGAACGGAGAGGGAGCCCACCACCCAGATTTCCCACCCAGAGAGGTCCAACACCACATCAGTTTGGAGGACCAAGGGGACCAGCCCCTGGCCCATTTCCAGAACAAAATGAGCCTCCTAATAGACACAATTTTCCAGGACATTCTCAGCAAGGTATGAAGCCTGGCCCTAGACCACTTTTGGATCTTCCAAGTCATCCACCACAGCATAGGAAAGACATGTGGGATGAAACAGGACCCTCTGCCTCTCATTCTAGTGTTTCAGGGCAGGGTTCTGACTCAGAAGCACAATGGTCATCATCTGATTTTCGAGACAGCCGAGGCAATGACTATAGAAAGCAAACTTTTGAAGGGAGACAGAGAGAGAGATTTGAGATAGGTAATAAGGAAAAAATACTTGAGCAGTCTGACCATTCAGATAATCGCTCAAATAGAGGAACTGATGATAGACGAAGAGATCGTGACCAGAACTGGACTTGGGAAAAGGACCGTGGCAGAAACTGGAACAGAGGTAGAGAAAGGGACTGGGAAAGGCACAAAGAAAAAGAGTGGGATAAAAACAGAGATAGAAGCTATAACAAAGACAGGGAGAGAGATTCAGAACGGAGTAAGGACTGGGAAAAAAACAGAGAGAGAACCAGAACCAGAGAAGGGGATACTTACCGAAGACGAGACAGATCAAGAAGCAGAGACCGTGATTATGACCGATACCGAGACGGAGCTCGAAGTAGGGAGAGAGAGAAGGATAGAGAAAGGGATAGGGACCGTGACAGAGATAGAGCAAGAGATCGCAAGGATCGGAGTAAAAGTAAAGAATGTGACAAAGACTCAAAGCCAGAAACACAAGCATGTGGCCAAAGGCTAACACATGCAGAGGTTACTCCTCCTCCCACAAAACAAACATAGAAAATAATTACAACCCTTTCAGAAGGGAAGGAGAATGTAAGGGTTGTATGCTCATTGTACATATTGTATATTCTCTTTGTTAGAAAATAATTTGTAAAACCTGTTTCACAAAAATGAGAAAATTTTTGAAATGTAAATGTGTACAGTATATTAAGCAGGTACATCCTGTACTTGCTAAACTTTGTTCATGTTTTCTTACACAAGGAACCATCCTTCCTTGCAGGGTCACAATATCTGTGTACAAATTGATTATGAGAGGGTTTAAGATAAACCTGCTTACCCCCTCTTTCAATTGCACTACCTGCTAGAGTGCAGGCCTGGTGGCAGGAATCTCTTGAACCCACTTCAAGTGTTGCACCCCTGCAGGGAAGAATTGTGGCTATAGCATTACAGTTCTAAAATGTTGTGTTTTTCTTTACTACTTCTTTATCTTGAAATTTCCATTTGCAGAAGTATAAATGGGAATTATCTTCAAAGAGCATATTGCTATTTCAAGGATATAAAGCTATGTTTTCCAATAACTTGAACAGTAATTTTATGAGAATTTAAGCAAAAACTTAGAAGCCATAACTTTACATCTCAAATATATAGTATTTTGGTGTTTCAGTTACTCCCTTCATACAAGACAGCCCAAAATTTCCGTCCTGAGTTAATCTAATTACAATCGGTTCTGTGTATTCAGGAAATGATTCCTGAGGAGCAGTGTTATTTCTTATAACTTACAGAGTATTTGAATAAGAAATAGTAAGTTTCTTAACTTCATACTTCCTTTTTACATGAAGGCATTTTGGGTTACAGACTTCAGTAAGATTTCAGGCATGAAATGGATATATCTAAATAAATAATTACCTTTCATGTATGTAAAAGCTTTTAAATACTGCATTTTTATGAAAGGTATAATTAATGAAAATTAACACTCCCATATACAAAACAATGCTTTTAAACCTGTTTATTTGAAAACATTTTACAAATTGCCCAATCAAATGGAATGTAGCTACTTGAGCTTCATGCAGAGATGATTATTAATTAAATAATTTTGGGGGCAGGATTTGGAATAATTTCAGTCAGAAAGAACCTATACTTCAGAGTATCTGAATATATTCCAGCCAGGCTGAAGTACTTTTAAATCATTTATTTCAGTGGGAGAGATTTGCCCAGATAGGCAATTGTCTTGTTACCATATACGGGATTTAAAAGTATTTCTTTCTAGTCAGACTGTGTCCCCATTCTTGTTCTTGTCAAACTTGTGGCTGTCTGTTGATAATACTGGAAGTAAATATTTGTGTAAAGATTGAAGTAGTCAAGCTGATACTAATAGTTCTGTACTTTCAAACGCAGTTTTCACTGTGAAATGCAGTATATTTTCCTGTATTCCTTCAAATTCATAATTCTAAACAATGCAGAGAACAAAAGTTAACAGTTTAACTGGATTTACACATAGATGAGCAATTACTTTGATATTTTTATAAACAGTTGCAAATGTAAAATTAGATTTGTAGCATCTGCATTTAAAATAGCATTGTTCCATAAAGAAAGCCCTACACATTTACATTTTATATTGGTTCATCTTTGAACTTCAAGAACATACTAATTTAAACATGGCCTGTATGCAAAACCTTTTGCAATATATTAAAGATGGTGTAGAATACAAATACCTATTAAGATGTAATTTTTTTATTCAATATGTTTCTAACTTAAAAGGCATACATATAAGTATGCAAAATTAAAGTGTTTGTTTAGGTTTACTTGACAGAGGTTTCTGTAAATTGTATTTTATATTTCAGAATATATCATTGTACATTAAATGTGGAACTTCATAGGTTTTTGTTACTATAAGTCAAATAAACATCTACCAAAACACTTTGTGTGAATATTTTTTTATAATTCCTTACTTTAGAACAATAGTGGACAGCATTGTGCATCCAGAGACCAATTTGGTCTATGATCCTTTGTGGGCTGTATGGACCACCAAAACTTGGAGAATCTCTGGATGTTTACATGTTTTTATAACTAAGCTTCAAAATAATGGTTAAAATTAAGCAGTTTAAATGGGACGATGCTGAAAGCTGTCAAAGAGAGAACGTCGTAACATGAGTCCTGATTTTTTTTTATCGCCATAAAGATCTTCCATATGAGTTAAATGGTCATAATTCCTGGGATTACACATAAAAGGATGCAATAGAAAACTTTGAATATGGGATGTTACTTTAAAAAAAAAGGAGATATTACATGTTCTCCAAAGAGCTGTGCCTCTCCTGGATCAGGTGGATAGACTTATTCCCTCAAAATACACATCTTCATCTGCACATGAATGCCTGCTCACCTATAAACTATATGCAACCAGCCCTCTCCACACCCCATTTCATGCTCAGCACCCATTAGCAGCTTAGACAAGCTGCCTCTTTTACATGTTAGGATATTTATGGAGAAGGTCCGGACTTTGATCTAAGTATGATACTTAGATCAGAAATCTGAAAGGGAAAACTAGTGTAAACTATGCTGAATAAATATGAGTCAGGAAATAGAACAAATGTACTTTTTAGATGCAACATCGTCTTCAGTAACATAATAAAGTGGTAGCACAATAAAGTGGAATGAGATTATTTTTGCCCCTCGAATGTTACTTCAGAAACTACTGAAATAACTAAAAGGGTAGTTTATTTTGTCTTGGATGGTCACCTTCCAGCACAGAATAAAACGAACCCTCTGGGATGCAATATTCCCAGGCTTGGAACTGAAGAGGTGTGCTGAAATCCATCAATACGCATTTAAAAGTTGCAAGAACCAGGTTAATAAGAGTTTGTCTGAGGAAGTGGACTTACTCCACGAAAGCTCGCGTTAAAATATAGCAGTGCCACCGCGTTTTTATCTTTACCTGATAACAAGACTAGATGAATGACACGGCTGCGAGAGGCCTTAAAAGTCATTGAACAAGCTGCTGCATGTTTGTTCTTGAAGAAACTAACACGGCCACATCTGTGTGCCTTAATAAACACCCTCTTCTCATGCACCGTTACCAAGAAATAAGCCCCTTTGCAGGAAATGCAGCTGGGGCAGGGCTGCAGCTCGTTCAAGCAGGCAAACTGGGGAGGGGGGCGCTCAGGAAATAATTTGAGGGGGAAATGGGGCAACTTTCGGTCTCTTGCCCATCCTCGCTACTTCTCTATTAGAAATGCACCCCCACCCCAAGAAAAAGAGAGCAAGAAACAGCAACACTAAGTGTTTTTGGCCATTTGAGGAGGAACACTGACGGGGCGTGGGTTTGGCTCTGAGAAGCTACACAGTTCCTTGCAGGCACGTTGCCAAGACGAGCAGAAAAGCTACGAGGCATTTTGTGAGGAACCGTGGTGTCTTATGTGGGAAGAACGGGGACGTGAGTGACTGGAAGACCCAAGACTTTCCTGAGGGATATTAACAAGGAGGACGACAGAAGATCGCCTCAGAGAACCGCCCGGCCAGCGGGAGGGCGGGGCAGGAGCGGCCGCCTCGCGCCGTGTGGGCGGAGCTCCTCCAGCGGACCTCCTCCTGGTTTTTGACCGCCCCGCCGCCGTTTTGACCGTTGGGAGGAGGGGTTTTGGGGAGGGAGCGTTAGCGCCCCTAGCGGAGCCTCGAGGGCCGTGGCGAGCGGGCGGGGCTGTCTTATCCAGGCTGCCCTCCCGTGGGTTGCCAAGGAGATCTGGGTTGCTCGAGGGTTGATGTTTTTGGGCCTGCCTTGGGCACCGGGGGAGGAGTAAGGGGGGGGGCGGGCTGCTGCGTCGGGGAATAGACCCAAAAAGCACACCCTGCCCACCCCCACCCCAAAGAAGAAGAAAAAAGGGGTGCTGGAGGATTTCCAGCATCTGCGCCATTTGCTAGCAGAAGGGCAGGATTCAGAAGGGGTGCAACTCTCTTTTCCACCTAGAGATGTTGGGGAAGAGTGTTTGATCCCCAGGGATTTGGGGCTATTAAGCAACCTCTTCCTTAAATAGAGCAGTTCATGTTATACTTTTAAAAGGGTGGGGTATAATCCTTTCATAGCACTAGATAGCATTCCTTTTTTTGGGGGGGGGAACAATAATATTCCATGTCATTTCTTTTTGCAGTGCGCTGTGCATCTCTCTTTCTTTTTAAAAGAGTAGATTAATTCTTCCTTTGTTCTCTCTGCCCTTTTAAGAGGAAAGAGCACTTGATCTGTCTTTGATCTGGCAGCTTTTTATTCCAGGCCCCTTTTGAAAGAATTGCCAGTTCTTTGCAGAGAAGTATTTGAGCCCTTCATCACCTTTGGATGGGTTAGGGTTTTTTTCCCCTCCCACTGGGAATGGAAATTAATACCCTGATGTAGAGGGCAGCCTGTATTAAAAGGATGATGCAAACCCATTCCCTATTTGTCTAGAACATCCAACCCCTTAATATTGCTTGCTCTCCATTGTAGCTGTTGGATTTTTTGGCACCAAGTGGGCATTGTCTACTGTTTGCACATTCAGCTGTCGAAGCACTTTGCGTTGCTAATATTCCTCAAAATCATGTCAGACACAGCTACAAAGGAGTCTGAAGCTGCCAACCCTCAGGCTGTGGCTGCAGACCCAGCTGCTGCTGCTTCTGTTGCTGAAAGCTCAACAGATTCTTCCTTTGGTGAGCACAACTTAAGCTTCACCACCACAGACCTCAGCCTGGTGGAAATGACAGAAATAGAGTACACACAACTTCAGCATATTCTTTATTCACACATGGAAGCACAAGCAATTGACAATGAAGCAGAAAACAGGCTAAATACAAATGGCTTCTCAAGTAACAACAGTGCAAACCAAACACAGTACTTGTCATCCTGTAGTAACAGCCAAAATGGCTTTTCATCAAACAGCTCTGGAAACCAGTCCCTCTGTCCCATTATCTGCCAGTCTAGTTTGGCTTCTGACAGCAGTTTCATGGGTCCCCCTAATCAATGTCTTGGGCACATTGATTTCCAGGAACTAAGAATGATGCTGCTTAGTGAATCTAGCCTTCTGCCAAGTCAAGCTGAAAAAACGCCCAGTGGTAGCTCTGTAGATACTTCTGGGCAGAGTTTATTAAAAGTTAGACACAACGAAAGCATGGGTGGGGTAAATAAAGAAAACACACTTGTGGAAAATTCAGCACCAGTATCTGAATCTAGAGCCAAATCTGCAGTCCGTGTTCGTTTGGAGGATAGGTTCAACAATATCCAGACTGAAACTCCAAGATGTCAAGAAAGCCAAGAAACTGGAGTGTCCATTAACAAGTGTGTTGCATTTGTCTAAAGAGTCTAATTTTTTAAGTAATTGTCAATTAAACAAAAATAATGATTAGCAAGATTACACAAGTTTTTTAAAAATAAGAAAATAGTAGCAACCCCTTGTTTCATATTCAAATTAATTAATATTGCTTATATTAACTGTTTTGCATGCATATAATGGAGAAAATCCAGTCCATTTTACCTCCATTTTATGTGTATAGAAAGGCGACTCAATTGGTTTAGGGATCAACTTATCATTTGTTGTTGATTCTAATCTTGCATTCCAGTTCTTACCCTTATCAGTCTCAAGTCCTACCTTATAATTAATACAATGTTGAGATATCTGCAGCCTTTAAATTGGACTATAGGCAGCCCCTGGAATGCATAGGGTCTCCATCACCCTGTATCCCATCAAAAATAAAAGCTTCTCTCTCTCTCTCTCTCACACACACACACACACACACACACTCTCTCTCTGTCTCTCTCTCACACACACACACACCACACACACACACACACACACACACACACACACACACACACACACAGAGGCACAAAAAGTCCCCACATATTGCGGATATTAAAAGCAATTCTGCTAACTTTTGAGAGGCCCCCAGGACCACTAGCAGCTAAATATATATGAAGTAAGACTCTCCAAGTTTTAGGTAAAAACCCAAACCTCTGGAACATGCCCATCCCTACTTCAAGTTGGGTTACACTAGAAAATGTGTAAATTTTAGCTATTTTTTACACTCTTATGCTCAACAAGTTTCTTTACATCCTCCTCACCTCACTAGCATTTGTTTTGCAAATTGTATTATCCTTGATTTTCAAAATCTGCCTCAAGGCCAGCAAAGTATGTTTTACATATGGATGAAATTAGTGGCAAAACTTCAATTACTTTATTAGATCAGAGCTGGATGCTGTCACTTTGCCTGCAAAATAAAAATAAAAATGACCAATTCTCACAATAATATAAATGCATGGAACAGAAGAGGACACTCTTGACTTTTTGTTTTGATTAACAGATGGCTATGTTTTGCTTTCCTTTCTTTGATATATCTTTTGAGCTTGAATACATACTACATAACTGTAAACTTATGTTTTGCGTACATGAAAATATGGAATAGTAGAATTTATGTGGGCATAATTCAAAAGCATGCAAACAGTTTCTCCCCACACATTTTTGGCAGGTGTAAAATCTTTTGCACTAGGACTTGCTCCTGTGTAAACATGCTTAGAATTGAACTATACTTTGCACACCTGATAAATTGAGCTGTACTTTTGCCCATCTGCTAAGTGTCTGGGGGAAATATATGCAACATGTATGCCTTCTGTTTCTCGCCTCTGATTTAGTGCCTGTGAGATTGTTACAACTTTTTGCTTTGTTTATTTTTAAGAGTAACAAAATAAACAATGACAGTTGCTTCCTTGGATTTATAGAATAATAGTTTGTTTAAACTGTTGTCATGTATAGCTTGATGGTTGTGTGTTATGCTAGAATCCTGAATCTAGATTGGAATAGCTACTGATATGTAAGAGTACGTAATAGCAGATATAGCTCTTGAAATTGCAAGTCCTGTTGTTTCACTGATTTCTTTTGTAGTCTAGTAACCCTCATACGCCATACGCCAGACATGATGGGTGTTCCTCTCCACCAGCAGCAGAACAAATGTACCACAGAAGTGAAAAACAAGACCGCTGCTACAACTACGACTGCATTGCAATTTACGTGCCCACTCTTTAACCCAAATGCAGCTTCTCCTGCAAATGGAAATGCAAACACTTCACAGTCACAGGTTGGTAATTTTTTTAAAACTGTAGTCATTTTCTTTCCGTACTGTTATGATAGCAAGTCTTTGGAAGAAAGTACAGTAAAAATGAGGTGGCAGTCTGGATTTCGAGTTGTTATTACGGGCTGTCAACTTGTTTCTGAGTTATGGCAACCTCATGAATTTTTTGTTGTTGTTGTTTAGTCGTGTCTGACTCTTCGTCACCATGAATTAATAACATCCAAATAGCCCAATCTTGCTCAGGTCTTTCAAACTAAAGGCCGTGACTTCCTTTATTGGATGAATCCATCTCATTCTGCATTTATTTATTTATTTGGCCTGTACACTGCCCTATAATACATATCGCTCTCGGGGTGGTTTATAACTGTAGAATTCAATCCAATAAACACAATATACTATAAACATACAATTTATAAAAACAATAATTAACTTCCTTCCATAAACAACCCAACATTTAAAAAAAGACAATTAAATTTTTAAAAAACCAAAAAACCTTTAGTTTCCCTTCCCCCTCACCCCAAAGAACTTGAATAGGAAAGGAAGAAAACGTTGAAAGTGTTACTTTCCCAACGTTCCTCCCAAAACTTCTGGAAGCCCACCCAAACCTTCTCGTGGCTGCCTGCTTTCCACTGCTGTCTCCAGCCTCTTCAGCTACACAACCCCCTCTACAGTGGTACCTCGATTTACGAACTTAATCTGTATTGGAATTAAGTTCGTACGTCGAAAAGTTCGTAAGTCGAGTCAAACTTTCCCATTGGAATGCATTGAAAACCATTTAATCTGTATCTGCTGTTTTCCATTCGTATATTGAGGCACTATTCATAGGTAGAGGCATTAGTTCCCATAGGAACTAATGCAAAGCCGGTTAATCTGTACTCTACCACTAGGGGGTGATTTTTTAAAAATTTTCTTCTTTTGACCTAAGGTGAACTTAGGTCCAAAAAAGGGAAGGAAAGGGTTTTCTTTCTTTTTTTCAGTTCGCAAGTCGAGGCTCCATTTGCAGGTCGAAGTGACTTTTTGTGAACGGAGCCGTTCATAACTCGAATCGTTCGCAAGTAGGGATGAACACAAGTCGAGGTACCACTGTAATCTCTTTAGGAGGGCATCTCACAGCATTTTGCTGTCTCTCAAATCCCAAATTAGGCTTCATCCACCCCAGCCCAATGTGAGCCAGGCCTAATTTGGCTTCTCAGCCTGAGCCTTCCTGTACTTTTCTTATTAACCTCCACTTTTCCTAGCATTGTAGTCTTTTCTAGGAAATCTCATATATTCCAAAACTCAGGTTAGCTCCTAGTGAGGGGATTTTGAATTATAAATATATTTGGTGCTAGCCTGAAGAAAATTTAATAGGAAGAAAAATAGTTTTAGACAGGATCAACAGAACTGTGACTTTCTCTTTAACAAAACAGGAAAAAAGCCCCTTTAATTTGTTCTCACATCCAATTCAGTGTTCTTATCTCTGAATAGCTTATTTTTTAGCATCTTCTTTAAGCATTTTCTATGTTTCTTACTATTGTAAAAGTTCATAGGGTGGCTACATGTACAGTCAATATACTTCAAATATCAAAACAGTATTAAAAATTTAAGTTGAGGAAAATTTTAAATGGAAAAAAATGCATTGAAAAAATAATGATAGGTGCAACTGCTCCATCTTGGATGCACACTTTTAATATGCTGAGGAGGCTTGGGTGTGTCATGGAAGCTGAGAACAATACCGCCAGGAAGTTAGACCCTGTTGCAAATCTGAACTTTTAGCAGGGCCCCCCAAACTAGTGTTACTCCTGGGAGTAATACTAGAGTGATCAACATGGAGACAACAGACTAAGTTGCAGTCACCCTCTTTGGGATTAAGAGTCACATCAATAAGAAAGAATTGGTAGTCCCAGTGGTGATTACCAGGGGCAGATACCAGGCAGCAACAGTAGTGGAAGGTGCCACTTGCAGGAAGAACTTTTGCAGACAATGGCAGTGATGTTCAAGCTAACTCTTGTTAGTACTGTACAGAGGAAGGCAACAGTAAACCACTTCTAAAAATACTAAGATGGTGAGGCAATCCAAAATGAAACAAGAGAGTATGCTGGAAAATGAGACCAGTCAGCTATTGGGAAATGGCAATGGACAAGTGTGAATAAAACTGTCACTATCGAAGCAAATAGAGAACCAACTATTGTGGCACCATATTTCTTTTAGAATGACCCATAGCTTTTCATGATCCTTACTGTTAAAGGCTTGCTGTAGCCTGTAATCTTATAATTTTATCTTGATCAGTCAGTCTTTCGGTCAGTCTTTCAGCATCCCTCTCTTGGTTTAAATTTTCCTCTGATTGTTGTTAGTATTGTGGAAAAGAGGGCTTTGTGGCCTTCTCTGTGGTGTTACCTTCCATCCCTCCTCCCTATTGCCTGCTTCAGTAGCCTCTTGTTTAACCCAAAACAGCAGTAGAGGGTAAACGCCCAGAGTGGCCTTGGCAGCCAAGTGGATGGTATAAAAGTAAAATAAATAAATAAATAATATTGGATGGAGGATAGAGTGTTGGACAGTGTAGTATCGTTGATAGAGTGTTGGCCTATGATTCAGGAGACCTGAATTCAAATGTGGTTATGGGGCCCCTGGTATTGCACTGTTCAGTGCTGATCTGTGAACTTTGTAGGGGTGTGTCATTTGAAGACAGTTCCCTATGAGCACTTTTCTGCTGGGCTGTCTCCATCCCTCTATGCCCCATGGATGAGCAAAACAAGGCAGGAAGGGAAAGAAACTGAAATAGTCAGGAGCAGGGCAGAGAAGGGAGGCAAATAGAGACAGTCTCTGTAGGGAGTGAGATGTCAGGGGGCAATTTTGGATATATACATGTACAAGAGGTACTGGGACAACTCAGTGCATCCTTGTACATTCAACAACAAATGCTCTTCCCATGTGTGGACACATGTACTGAGATGGTCTATTCAAATTTGCAATAAAAATGCCAGAACGAGGCCCTGGTCACACAAGGGAAATGTTCTCTAGTTATTCCCCAATTAGTTTATTGTGTTTTCCCTGGTCACATGACACACAGTCAAGATCGAAACATTTTCCTGGCCAGAGGTAAAAGTGGGAAACATTTCCCCTGGACATGAGGGCTGTGTTATTTTGCACCTCTGTTGTATTGATGCATTCCTTACTGGGATTGCCTGCGTGCATGTCCTGTCCTGCTTTTTTTTTCAGAATTGAAGCCAAGAAGATGGCCACCGTTTTTGCAGTGCACATATTTCTTATCATTATTTTTCCTGGCCGGTACATTGACATGTTGATAAAAATATGTTGGGGGCATTGCCACGTAGATGTCTTTCTTTCTTTTTTCATAGCCTGTAGATAGGCAGCAGCTGCCGCCCTTACTGCTAAGTATGTACCATAGATGGCAGTCCAGTGTTCGTTGTGTGCAATGCAATTTTACAGGCACTGCCAGCACAACAGAGGACACTTTCTGAAACAGAAACCTCTTCCTGATATATTAATGTATTGATAAATATATTTTAATATATATAGATAGATCTTCGTCGTTTAGTCGTGTCCGACTCTTCGTGACCCTATGGACCAGAGCACGCCAGGCGCTCCTATCTTCCACTGCCTCCCGGAGTTGTGTCAAATTCATTCTGGTAGCTTCAATGACACTGTCCAACCATCTCATCCTCTGTCGTCCCCTTCTCCTCTTGCCTTCACACTTTCCCAACATCAAGGTCTTTTCCAAGGAGTCTTCTCTTCTCATGAGAATATAGATAGATAGATAGATAGATAGATAGATAGATAGATAGATAGATAGATAGATAGATAGATAGATAGATAGACAGACAGACAGACAGACAGACAGACAGACAGACAGACAGACAGACAGACAGACAGACAGACAGACAGACAGACAGACAGACAGACAGACAGACAGACAGACAGACAGACAGACAGACAGACAGACAGACAGACAGACAGGAGACAAAATTGCCCCTTGAAGCAAGAGAAGAAATAAACCAGTATCATGGTGTAGCTGGCCCTAAAGATTCAAGTACAGTAGGTGGAAATAAATTGGTACCACTAAAAGTTCCTGGGACATTCACCCCAGCATATATATCATGAAACAGTACAACAGAGGGATAGAATGTATTTGAAGAACTAGAGAACATTTCCCTCATGTGATCAGGGCTTGAGAAAAGAACAACTGAGAACTAATGGAGACAACACTACTGTACGCACAAGCTTTTACTTTAGTTACTCCACTAGGATTCTACAGTTGTAAAGGGGGTCTAGTTTTCTAAATTGCTGGCAGCTTCTTTTACATGTTCATCTCCACACTTCGCATATTAAGGTATGGATCAAAGAGAGAACTTGAACTTCTACTTTCTTCTAAAACAAAGGAGCGAAACACTTATGAAAACGCAAGAGCTTACGTGTACTTCTTGGCCCTGAGGGAATACTGGCATAAGCAAGGGGCAAGTCAAATGGTTTTGGGTGGACAATCACAGGGAATGAAAAGGTTTCTGCTCAACCAGATGGATTTGGGTAGAAGTAGGTGATGAGGGTGCAGCAGGACGTGAGAGTCTGTCAAAAAGGCAATTAAGAGATGACATTTGAGAAATGGTGCATAGCTTGGAAAGAGGGAGGGAGAGGCTCTCCCTCCCCATTTTACAGTACTGGAACTTATGATCATCCAGCAAAGTTGAATGGTAGGAAAATCAGGCCATACAATATGAAACGCTTCTTCATATAAACATATGAAAATAGATCGGTCTCAGATATCATCTTGGTGAGATGTTCTGTTCAAAGTTACTGTATGTTTAAAGCAAGTTCCAAATGGAGTTTGCAATCTTATAGAATCATCTGGAGGGAGCATCTGAGATATTAATATCATGGTCTTCCTTAATTTGCATAGGCAAATCATTGCCTGTCACTCATCATCTTTCCCATTGCCTTATATTAAAGCATAGCGATTTTTGTTAGTCATTAAGGTGCCAAAAACACTTTTGTTTTCTTTTTTTCTTTTATATTTCTTTGAAAGGAGGTTTTCCAGTGATTCCCGTTGACTTTAAAGAGAGAGCAGATTTGATGCCATGGACACATTTGGGCTTTGCGGAATACTGATTTCTTCTTCTCTCTACTTAGAGTTCTGGGGCTTCTGTTTTGGAAGCAGCCAAACATCAAGACCTTGGATTGCCTCGAGCTTTTTCTATCTGTTACCAGCAGGAAATTGAAGCAACGAAACAGACAGTTGGTCCCAGGAATAAGTCAGTGCCTGAACATGTTTGGATTAAATTGGGAGGTAAATGGCAAAATGTTGGCTCATATTCTAGTCAGCATCCATCACTTTCAAATAATTAATTCAGATTTCTAAAGAATAGCTTTTAGTAGAAGGTATGCTTGGGTTTTAATATGACAGTGTTACATTGTAGACATGCTGTCTCTGAACCACTTAAGGTACTATATGTGCTTTTAAAACTACAGTACAAAGAACTCCAAGGATGTTCCAGCATCTTATTATCTTTCTCTGTCTCAGAACAATGTCTGTAAATTGATAGAACAATTAATTTTTACATGGAATAGTTATGAGGTTGGATGGGGTTTTGTAATTTTCATTTTTTTAAAAAAGTGCTTTGCCTGCGGGCAGCTGATGGGCCTTTTCATAGCACTTTCTGTTCTGCCGGTATCTGTAAAACATAAATATATTGTTAGTGTTTGAGACTCAGACTGTAATGCTGTGTTCAGTTACCTGGGAGTAAATCTCAATGAGATTACTTCTTCTGTCGCTAGAGCCACAGAGTTTAACAAGTGTATTTTTTACTTATCTAAAACCTTAGCTTCTTAATGAGTAAGGAACAAGTTGACCACTAGAGGCACGTAAATTCTAGTTAGTGGAAGTCTCGAGAGACTATGGTAACATACAGAGCACGTCACCATAGTATTTTGAGACTGAAGGATGTCTAACTAGGAAAGGCTGAGGAATTGATGCCTCTTGGTTTAAAATTATTTTGGTTCTAAGGTGATGTTGCGATAGGGAATATAAACGGCAAGACTGGAGGTAGAATTTCCTTCCAAATGTAGGAGACAGTTTTTGTTCACCAAGCTGCAACAAATCTCATACTTCTTTCAGCATCAGAGGGGAATTTGAAAAGCATTTATATTGAGCTCTTGTTATGATGAATATTTATCAAACTCTTGCTTATCTTTAATTGATGTGTCAGTTAGAAAGAATAAGACTAATTTATCAACTATTCTGTATGTGTTGTACAACTTTAAGAAAAAGCCATAGTTGAACATGCTATAGGGTGAAATTATAATGCAACCATTTCATATCTGCCTGCATCCCTAACTGCAAAGTACTTTTTCCCCTTGTTATTTTGCAAAGAAGAGCATCTATGTAAGCAAACCATAAACAAAAGAAGCCGCAATCGCTTGCATCCTTTGGAAACCAATGTACAACGCAAACCTCTTGGGGACATTCAAAATATGTGTGATAACCAAAGTGCTGGCCCAGAACAGGGTGTTTGGCATGCATCCCAGCCCACCCAGAGCGGATCAAGTGGAAACCAAGGTGGTGTCTCTCAGCGTCGGGAGAGGCATAACCGGATGGAAAGAGACAGAAGGTAATTGATGGCCTTGAACACTGAGAAAAGTTAATATATTGGTGTAGTGCCAGTTTGCTTTTTATAATATAGTTTTCTGCAAAGCTTTTCCACAGATAAATCCCATTTATCTGCTTGTTCATGGCATTTGCTCTTGAGGTGAGGACTAGGACTATCTTCTGTGCATATGGATATAGCCTGTACAACTAGAGGACATGGATTGACTCCATCTTGTACTAATTTGAAACAGTACCATCAGTGCAAATGGAGCAAATCAGAGGGCAAACAAGGCAGTAGCCATCTCTGTTTGGGAGGTGGGAATGAGTTGTAAATGGCTGCAACATTTACTGCTAATACTCACTGGCATAGTCAAGAACCTAGTTATTTGGCAGCCTAAGCGGTAGCCAATAAAGTGCCCAACTCATGTGTTTCAAAGATGCTGTTGAAGGTGGCAAGAACCTTGGGCCCATCACAGCATGGGACCAGTATTAGAGATTCCTTCTGCATATCAGGTATGTGACAGCATGACAGGCCCCAAGCTGGATGGACCCTCAAAGTTCTCCTCTAGAACCCTTGTGAGGTGTGCAGGTCTCCCAGCAATTGCCTGCCCCTAAAATCAATATACCCCAGTCACAAGAGACATATAGAAAACCTTCCTGGCTCACTCCAAGGCAGTATTAAGACTATCACCCAGCCAAACTTCATGGCCAACAGGTGAGTGGTAAATATTGTGAAGCAGAACAGTTTGGGAAGTTTAAAGGGATGTCAAGGTGCTAGAAAATAGGTGATGCTTTGAAGAGTAACATAAACAAAAGGATGATAATTAGAGGAATTAAAAGAATTAGAGCAGATGTTACAGTATAGATAACATCACCCAGTTTCAAGTCTGAGTAATGAGACTTTTGAACCAAGCCTGTGTTTGCCTCCCAGTGATGAATCACCAAACTAAATAGTTTTGCGAGACAGGAAATCAGAAAGTGTATGCTGTTCCAAGCTAACAATGTACTGTCTCTATTGGTTAGTTTGAGCCAAAGAGAGGAGAACTAGGGTAACAAAGAATGAATATGACAGAATACATTATATGTACCTCAGCTTCCTCTTGGCTAGGTATTAAGAGGGAGGGGCACAGCTAAAGAATCTGTGGAAAAGGTGGGTTTAGAGGAGAATTTTGAAAGGCAGACAAAGCTTGCATTCTGCATTACAGCAACCCTGCTTCATAGAGAGGAATTATTATCCTTTTGTAACCCCGGTGAGAATTACTAAAATATAACTGGTGCTTTCAGAAAAAGAATGATTAAATAACGCCTGAAATTCTGTTGTGCTGCTGTGCAGAGGCATAACTTTTGGAAGCGAATTGCTTCAAGTTAAGAAATCTTCATAGACATTATCATTTGCATTCTGAGTTGGTCAACTCAGCATACAACAGATAATCATAGAATTATAGAATAATTGCATTGGAAGATGCCTCTAAGGTCATCCAGTCCAACTCCCTTGCTCAGTGCAGGAATCCAAAGCAAAGCAGATCTGCCAGATCTGTCCAATTTTCCTTTGAATGCCTCCAGTGTTGGAGTGCTCGCCGTCTCCCGAGGTAATCAGTTCCATTGTTGTACTGCTCTGACAATTAGAAAGTTTGCCTGATATTCAATCTAAATCTGGCTTCCTGTAACTTGTGAGATGATCACACCCTTCCCCTCCTTTGTATCACTATCTTTCAAGTATTTAAAAAGTGCTATCATATCTCTCCTCAGTCTTCTTCAAGGCTATATGCTCCCAGCTTTTTCAATGGGCTTGGTTTCGAGTTCCCTAGTCATCCTTGTTGCCCTCCTTTGAATTTGTTCCAGCTTTTTGGCATCAGTCTTAAAGTATGGTGTCCAGAATAATGTCTATAGAGGTTTTTTTTTTTTAACTTAAAGCAGCTTATCTTCAAAAGTGACATCTTTAGTATAGCAGGGCAACAGGATTTCAGCCAGTGGTTTCTACCAGTTAAACGATATTCTTGAAAGATTGCAAGTTTCAGGTTCTAGAACTGACCGTGCTGTGTGTAATTCTAGGCGCAGAATCAGGATTTGTTGCGATGAACTGAATCTCCTTGTTCCATTCTGCACTTCAGATACTGATAAGGCAACAACTTTACAATGGACTACAGCATTTTTAAAATATATTCAGGAACGGCATGGGGATTCCCTAAAGAAGGTTGGTTCCACATAGACACACATAATAAAATTAGAGGATGAAATAAGACACCTTGGGTGTGTGTGCAATGTAGATTATCCTGATTTTGATTTTTTTTTTAAAAGTGTGTACCATTTAATTTGATTTGTGTCCTGGACCGAATCTGGTTTATAAATTTTAAAAGAAAATGCAAATATGCAGAAAAAACAAAATGGCTATAACTTTTTTTTTTTGCTTTCCACTGACGTATATGAAATTTGGAGAAATGATAGACCATTAGGATGGGAGTAAACCTGCGAATTTGCAGATAGCTAGAGGCAGGGTCATAAATTAGGTACTTTTACAGTTCAGGTTTTTTTTGAAAGCAACAACAGCTACTCCCCTCACTGGGAGAAGGGGGTTCTACTAATGATACAGCTAATTAAATACATGAGGAATATCCAGTCTTTTGCTGAGTGCTTACATTAAAAAACTTTTAATTCAATTCATATATTCAGGAACCCCCATCCTTTAAGCTTTCATTAGCAGTTTTTTCAGAACAGCTGAACAGAGGCACAGATCCGGGCCTAGATTAACAGCAACCATCAATGCATGGCACGCTACTTGTCATTCCACATGCCGTGTCTTAACCCAGGCTAAAAACATTGGATTGCTTTGTGTTGCTGAGCTTCTGTGATAATGTAACAGAGCAGGAATCTGTGCACTCTGTAACCAAATAATGTATGCATTTTAACTGCAGCAACACAGACTTTTTTTTAAAAAAAGTCATGTATAGAAAAATAAATGTGGATATGTATTATATTCATCTTCTTTTGGAACCCCTTGCTTGATGCAGAGATCCAGAGAGCTCAGAAGTTTTAACTGTTTTGTGTCTTTTTGTTGGCCTGTGTGGGTTTCATTATTGTAATCAGTTGTTTATTTTTTTTTATTTGTTGCTTCCTCAAATGTTTACAGGATAAAAACAAAAGACACAACCTAAAAAACTCAAATTTTGCAATCAGCAAAATGAAAAATGTTTTAAAAAAAGCAGCAAAATGAAAAATGTTTAAAAATAAGCAGCAAGTCACAGGCTAATAGCATTAATAAATTGCACATGTTTTCCATTCTCTAGTTCAGATTTCTCCCCGCTCCAGCAATTATGGAAACTGACTAAGGTCCTAGAGTAAATGCCACAGAAGTTCATTATGAGTAGTATTAGGGCTAACATAACACAGAACTATAACTAATACTGGCAGGAATATACTGGTGAGTGGTATACAGAAGAAAAAAGGAGTACAATTCTGTGATTCGCTTACAGTCATAGAACCATAGTTAAAATATCAGGTGTCAACAAAATATCACCATCCAGATGTTGGAATTTAACCCCTAGCATTTGTCATCATTGGCTATGCTTCTAGGTAGAATTGGTGGGAGTTCCAGTCTAAAAAAATATGGATGTCCATAGTTAGCCCACCTCCGGAAAAGACACTGGGAGTGCTATACAGTGGTACCTCGACTTGAGAATGTCCTTACATAAGAACAATTCGAGTTGAGAAAAGTTGCTTCGACTTGAGAACGGAGCCTCGACTTAAGAACCAAAAAAAGAAAAAAAAAACCCTTTCCTGCCCTTTTTTTGACAGAATCTGTAGATGATGTTCCAAAATGGAAGCAGTGAAACAAGTATGAAGTAGAAGCTCTGTTATTTATTCAGTGAAGAAATTATTAATTCAGTTAATATATGTGACAGGATAACCAATGCAATCACCATCGTAGGCAAGCTGTAATTTCAGTGCTAACCTTTACTACCCCTGTGGAGGACAGTTAAATCGTCCAATGAATTTTTGTAAGAGTTACTGAAATGATCAGCAACAGTAATCTTTTGCAGGTGGAACTAGGAAGGGTTATCCCAACTGTAGCTTCCCTTGTATGCCCAGAACTGACTGAAGGGAGGAGGGAAGCGAAGGCAATGTGCCTGTAGTTGCCCTTGGAATGTTATATTTAGACCAGTGTCTGGGATTTAGATCCTTTAATATGTAAGTGCAATGTACAAAAACAGCACATCTCACCAAATGGATGAATGCTTCGGAGTGTCTCCCACCAAGAAGTCACTTAATAGAGAGCCTTTGAGAATACATCACTTAATAGACTTCAAAGCAAAGCAGAAAGATCAAAAATAATCAAGTAAAATGGGACTACTTGGATACTAAATAAATTTTCTGTCTCTGTGAAGAAAGTCAACCAATCCATGTCATTTATGTCCCACCACATCTACAAAAGAAGTTATACAAGTTCTTCTTAGACAAATTTTTGAAGTAACCTGCTTCTGGTCAAAAAGAGCCTAATCATCTTAACATTTTAATTTGTTTTTAATTTTACTTTTACTGTATTCTATATAGGTTGATAATTTTAAATTGTGCAATGCTCTGATACAAATAAGGATATATAAGATTTCAATGGCACTGTCACACCACTCACTTCTGGATAGAGAAAGTGCCATTCACTCCATTAATGGAATTATCACAATTTGAAACAATTGCACTGTACGCTGGCAATGAAGTTCTGCATGTTTTGATTTGATTTTTTTCTTAATGCAAAAAGATTAATAGAATAAGCCACATGCTTTGAGGTTGCATATTTTGTTTGCTTTACAAATAAGTTTGTTTACAGAGTTATCTTCATGTGTGAACTCCACCTTGAGCCAATAATATAAGGACTCTGCTTGATTTTTAGGAATTTGAAACCGTGTTCTGTGGCAAAACAGGCCGAAGACTAAAATTAACAAGACCAGATCTGCTAGGAACATGCCCACCACAGGAGATTACACAGAATGGTACATCGATGGAAATAAAGTAATTATATACTTCTGTTTAATAGATGGAAAGTATGAACACAGGGTGTTTATAATTCCCCCCCCCCAAATTCGCCTACTGGACTTCTTGTGACTTAGTATTGTTTTAAAAATACATAAACAGTGAAGAAATGACACACTTTATTGAAAACAAAGGGAAAAAACATCAAGAACATTTATTTCTAAGAAAAGCATTGTACCAGAAGAAAGGGGAGAAAAAAACAGTCACAAGCTACTAAATGCTACCTCCCCATCTGCCACCCCAAGTTTTCTATTTCTTGTTTTGTTTTGAAATATAAAATAATTCAGATATGTCATAGAACAGCAGCTTGCTTTTTCAGTTCGGAACACATATGCATTAATATGAATTATTACTGTAGTATGTCATGGCAACCAGTTTGCTATTAGAAGACATTTTAAATAGTTTATAAATTATATAAGAGATGCTGGCTTGTATATAGTAAGTCAGATTTGCCTTTGATTTCCAAAGTTCATCCCTGTGAAACTAAAATATATAGAAAAAGCTGTTGGCAATGTATTATAAATACAGTACTATTTAAAATAAGTTTTGCACTTTCTCCAAGAAATTATAGTACAGGACACAGTCAATGGAGTACCTCCTACAAGAAGATCCATTGAAACGCATGGGAGAAGTAGCTATGTACTCTGGTGCAAATCCCATTTATTTCAGTGGTGCTTTCCTAGGAGGAAAATGCCAGCTGATTATATCTTTTCAGTGCCAGTGTGGTATTTTGTAAACACAATTTTTAACTGCATTTTTCTTTCCTCCCCCAAAGAATACTGGTAGTAATGACACTTGTTAAGAAATCTAAAGTATTTGAGAAGTAATGTATTTATTGAATTAAAAGTGGTGTTACTTATCCATCAACAGAGATGGTGCTAATAGTATTTCATCTATAGAACTCATTCCAAAATAAATACTGTTTAAATCACGGACAATCGCACTTGTGTAGCACCTTTATTTCCATTAAGCAAGGTGGGAATATAAAGAATGAGCAAAACCATCCTACAGACAGGGAAAATGTTACAGAAAGGATTTTGTACAATAATGCTTTTGTTAATTTGTAGTAGTGATCATCTCCTGTAACACATGGCTCTTTCACAAATCACACATAGAGGGTATAAAATGTAATTTACTGAATATCCTTTAGGTTAATATGGAAAAATCTTTAGCAAAATAGATATATATACATATCTGTCCTCTTGAAGAGTCCGTTTGGAAAACATTCATTTCTAGGCGCCATAGGGGCTTAGAGATCTAGCTGTGTGCCCAACACTGTGTCCAGCCCTCTTTTATCAAAGACATTTTTTGCAGCTGAGACAAGCCACACAAAAACTTAAGAGAACTTTAGACGTAGCTTCCGAAACTATAAAATATTCCTAATGTGTGCACCGAAAGGGGGTCTTTGGATTGTATACATTTTATAAACATTCAGAATAATCAAAGAATTCTGTTTGAATGAACTCTGTCTGTTTTACTTAGTTCACTATTTCTATATTTTTTGCCCCAATTTAACTAAGGGCATGTAGGCTCAGATTCCAAGCTGTAGGAAGAGATATGTACACAAACAGGAGTTGCACATGCAATTCCTGTCCTTGGCCATCTGATGGGGTTGTGTGTGCATAGTCCATAGGTAACTTTATAACATGTCCAGGGTTATCTGACCAGTGTGCCCAGCCACAACAGTTATATTGAACCTAGGGCTAGATAAGAGCCCAGAACTAAAACAGAATTCCATGTTATTAATTCAACTAATTCAGGAACAAGTCATCACAAAAACTGGTATATATTTAGCTCCGTTGGGGATTGTGATGTATTTGGGATTATATTAAATCAAAAGCACCGCATACTTTAGAAAGAAGGGGGTACCTTGTCAGTGGGGCAAGGCAAGAAATAAGGAAGATTGTAGTGAATACTTGAAGAGAATGTAGGGGACACATAATTTTGTGCAAGTGTCCCTCAAATAGTTCCAGTTTCATCAAACTAAAATATAGTCCATCTTACCCTTCTGAACAGGAGAACTGCCTCTCCAGTTTTTTTAAAAAATGGGAGGATATTTCTCTCTTATGTATAAACCATTCACTTAAATATTCAGTTGCTTTAATCATCTTCTTTAAATGCAGTTTTAGGACTTCTTGGATATTCCTCCTGCAACGGCTCCCATGCAGGCCGAGGTATCACAGATTCCTGGTGTTCCTTGAACCCCAGTGGCACCTGGTCTTCCGGGATCTCCTGGCAATCCAGGTTCGCCAGCAGCACCAGGCCGACCATCTTTGCTAATTCCGGGAACACCTGGTGGGCCTTGAGTCACAATGGGGGAGAGAGAAAAAGGTGAAAGTTTTGTCCCCTGCACCGATTCCTGGATAAAACGATTGCTTATGAAAAGTCATAGCAGCCAAAATCCTATTGCTGGTTTGTGTTGGCATATGGAAACTTGTGTAAGTTCTGGCAGAAAATGTGTGCTTCTTGACTTTTTGTTGTTTAGTCGTTTAGTCATGTCTGCCTCTTCGTGACCCCATGGACCAGAGCACGTCAGGCCCTCCTGTCTTCCACTGCCTCCCAGAGTTGGGTCAAATTCATGTTGGTCGCTTCGATGACACTGTCCAACCATCTCGTCCTCTGTCATCCCCTTCTCCTCTTGCCTTCTCACTTTCCTAACATCAGGGGCTTTTCCAGGGAGTCTTCTCATATGGCCTCAGCTTCAGGAACTGTCCTTCCAGTGAGCTAGAACGCTGTTAATTAATTAATGCCAGCATCCACCTCCGGGAGGCAGTGGAAGACAGGAGGGCCTGGCGTGCTCTGGTCCATGGGGTCACAAAGAGTTGGATATGGCTTAACGACTAAACAACAACAAAGCATCCACTTGTTAATAAGACACTGCTTCATCCCTCATTGCATGCCACTTGAGTCAGTTGGTGTGTGACAAGGGATACAAGCAGCAACTAGGGGCAACTGGTGTGTGTGTGTGTGTGTGTGCGTGCGCGTGCGCACGCGCGCGTCTGTGTGCTGTCAAATTGGAACCAACTTATAATGACCCTAATAGGGCTTTTCAAGGTAAGTGAGAAATTTAATGTGTGGTTTTACCAGTTCCACTCCCCCCAGTCCCATGGCCGAGTGGGGATTTGAGTCCAGTTCTCCAGAGTTCTAGTATATCATTCTACCCACTACACCACACTGGGAATCCTAGATGATTATGTAGCTGTGTTCAGTGATCTCCAAAAATGTACCAGCAAAGCAATGCTGCTGTGTGCAAGAGGATATTTTTATAATCTCACAAACAGAAGAAAGTCATCTTTAGTAGGCGGAGAGAGAACAGCTACAACAATTTAACGTTTAAGGAAGCTGAAATGTCGATGAAATGTCTTGCCTTTCAAGAAGCTGGTGAGCACAAACAGCTCTCGTATCAACTTACCTTGAGGTCCTTGATCCCCATCAGGTCCATCAACACCTTTGCCAATGGCACCTTTGTCTCCTCTCTCACCTTGATCACCTGTAGAACCACAATAATGGTATGAATTGAATGTAAGGCTAGAAAATTTACTTTTAAACAAAGAAGTAGCAAACTCTCTTGGCGAAAATGGCTTAGTGCTAAAATAAGTTCCCTTTTTGGCAGGGAGCTTTAGACTTATAGCTCATTCCTTTATGTTCAGCATGATTCTAGAAGAGGTGCTACCTCCAGACAATAGTAAGGAAGCATTCAGTTTGAGTCAGGAGGAAGCACACTTGATGTCAAGAAGAAAGCACATTTCCTCAAGTTGATCTGTTTCCCTTCCTGCAATGAGATTTCCTCTGACATAGGGGCCTAAGTAATCAGACTTGCAAATAAGTGCATGCTTACCTTCCAATGACTAATTGCAACATCTCTGCAAAAATGCATGAACTGTATTATCTAGTTGGGCTCTCAGTCTATCTGACACCATCCTGCTACTCACCTCTAGGACCAGGGTCTCCCAAGTACTCTCAGTCTTTCAGGTTCAGCCTTCTATCTGACACTGTCCTGCAACTCACCTCTAGGACCAGGGTCTCCCAAGTAACCCGTTGGCCCTCTGTATCCAGGTGGGCCGCGAGCACCAGGATGCCCAATCCTGCCAGTTGTCCCAGGAGGGCCGGGTGGTCCAGGAGGCCCAGGCCGTCCTGTCATTCCAGGAGCTAAGGGCTTTCTCAAATTAGCAGCTAACTGTGCAATATGTTCTGAAATTAAGAGAGAGAGAGAAACGGGTTAGCTTTGTCTATAATGTGAACTGATGCATAGGTCAAGGCAATCCTAGGCATTATCTAAATAGGTCTGCCTGGTTGTGCAACTATATTGTACTTCGGGAGTCAGGCAAAAATCTTTCCATTTTCCCAGGCATTTGACATACAAACAGAATCTTGATTTTGTAATTTTGATGGTTTTCACTTTGTTTTTTGTTAGATATATTTTAATTGCAAGTTGTTGTTGTTGTTTTAAATTCCTCCCTGACAATATAACTGAAGTGTCTTGTTGTTTAGTCTTTAAGTCATTTCTGGCTCTTCGTGACCCCATGGACCAGAGCACGCCAGGACCTCCTATCTTCCACAGCCTCCCGGAGTTGAGTCAAATTCATGTTGGTCGCTTCAGTGACCCTGTCCAACCATCTCATTCTCTGTCGTCCCCTTCTCCTCTTGCCTTCACACTTTCCCAACATCAGGGTCTTTTCCAGGGAGTTTTCTCTTCTTATCAGATGGCCAAAGTATTGGAGCCTCAGCTTTAGGATCTGTCGTTCCAGTGAGCGCTCAGGGTTGACTTCCTTCAGAATGGATAGGTTTGCTCTTTTAGCAGTCCAGGGGACTCTCAAGAGTCTCCTTCAGCACCATAATTCAAAAGCATCAATTCTTTGGTGGTCAGCCTTCTTTATGGTCCAGCTCTCACTTCCATACATTGCTACCAGAAAAACCATGTGTCTTACAGGCAGTTATTTGTAATAGATCAATAACTAAGAAATACCAATAGATAGTAGAGAATCCAGGATTGCCACCTTTTGTATTTTGAAGAGGGAGGTACACTCTTGGGCATTCCTACAGTGACCATGTACATGTTTACCATCTGTCATAAGGACATTAACACAGTGTGACTGTTCCCATTGGATATGTCAACCAGGCACTTCCCAGACATGGTTACTGTCTCAAGGGTCTTCAGACTATATCCTTGGTGGAAATATACATACATAATCTCCTAATATAAAATGAGAAGATAATCTAGTCCAATATGCTGTTTCCCATTATGGCACACCAGATCAGAGCCTATAATAATAATAATTTCCAGAACTTCTCAGGCAGCATGGCTACAGATGCAGTCCAAGAAAAGTAACATTTCAATCTCCACAAAAGCAAGAGTGTTTGATACATTTTATTAGGCCACCAAAAAAGAGAGCTAACTTTTGAACTCTTCATCAGACTGTGCACAAATATAGTGTAGATAGTGCAGGGGAAAAAATGAACGTTCCAAAAGTTATATCAGACGTCCATGTGAGATCTGTTTCTCAAAATTGTAGATTCCATCATGGTGGCCCCAACTTGGCAAACAAAATGGCCACCACGTGTTCATCCTTTCCCCCTCTGCTATCACCTTCTCTCGAAACTCAAAATTCCTTGGCTGGGGAAAGAGGATTGGCAGAAATGTGGAAAATCCCCATCAGAGAACTGGGAATAAAATGTGGTCTCTGCAGTTGTTTTTTCATGATACGCTAGATGTGCTATTAACATGTAGAATGCATATTAATTAAAATATTAATTTGAGGCATCCTCGTTGGAGGACATATCAGGGTGCATTCTCTTTCCAAATGACTCAACTCACACAATCATAGTTTTGACATATGTAAAGGTAAGACTCAATGGGAAAGTTAACGTAGCAGAGAAAGAGGAAGACAGAGTACTGTATTAGATGGTTTGACTCAACAAAGGAAGGTGCAGTTTTGACTTTGCAAGACCTGAGCTGTGAAGGACAGAACCTTTTTGAGATAATTCATTCATAAGATTGCCTTTTGTTGAAAATAACTTGAAACACACAGCAAAACCAATGAATACAAATAAGGGGAGGTATCAGTCTAAGATCTAATAACTGACTACAGGATATTGACTTCTCTACCTTGGAAGAAGCACTTAGGTGTGGACAAAGAGAAGCCCTGTTGAACTGAGAGCAAATGGGGAGTGACAGGAATGGAAGGAGAGTTGTTGCTAAGCATGGAGAGGCCAAGCCTGTGAGAACCATACTCTCCTAGGTAAAGGTAAAGATTCCCCTTGACATTTAGTCGAGTCGTGTCCGACTCTAGGGGGTGGTGCTCATCTCCGTTTCCAAGCCATAGAGCCAGCGTTTGTCCATAGATAGTTTCAGTGGTCACATGGCCAGTGTGACTAGACACGGAACGCGGTTACCTTCCCACCGTGGTGGTACCTATTTATCTACTCGTATTTTTACATGCTTTTGAACTGCTAGGTTGGCAGGAGCTGGGACAGGCGACGGGAGCTCACTCCGTCGTGTGGATTTGATCTTACCACTGCTGGTCTTCCGACCTTGCAGCCCAGAGGCTTCTGTGGTTTAACCAGCTGCGTCACCACTCTCCTACTCTTCTATAATCATCATTAACCAATCCTGTTCCATAAAGCTGGGATCCCTTTGAATCTAACTTTGCATTTGATATTGGACTTCCTTGAGCCCTCTCACTCTAAAAACCCACCCTGCACCTTATTGTTTCTATATAGCCTGGTGCAGGTTGGATCAAAATGGGTGAACTATTCAGCAATGCTGAAAATAATATATCTAGGTCCTAGTAGCCAAAGTTCAATAAAAGACCGATCTGCATGAAACCCACCCTTATCCTTAAAGGGACGTGGTGGCGCTGTAGGTTAAACCGCAGAAGCCTCTGTACTGGAAGGTCGGAAGACCAGCAGTCGTAAGATTGAATCCATGCGACGGAGTGAGCTCCCGTCGCTCGTCCCAGTTCCTGCCAACCTAGCCGTTCAAAAGCATGTAAAAATGTGAGTAGGTACCATCTTGGTGGGAAGGTAACAGCATTCTGTGTGTAGTCGTGCTGTCCACATGACCACGTAAATGGTCTTCGGACAAACACTCACTCTACGGCTTGGAAACAGGGATGATCACCACCCCCTAGGGTTGGACACAAGTGGACAATTTGTCAAGGGGAACCTTTACCTTTACCTTACATCCTTATCCAGAAATGACTTCCTTGCTTTCCCCTAAATACCCCCATTGTCTCCAACATCTCAGGTTTTGGATTTAGAATAATTGAGATAATTGCATACCAAATTTCACCAACAGGGAAAGTGTGATTCCATTTGAGACTCTAAGATTCAATCTCATGTATCTGAACTTACAAGGACGGTTTGATACAGACCCTTTACTGACTTAAGGCTTGAGGAGCTACAGTTAAAATCAAGGGGACTGGATTGGACTCACTCATAGCCAGTTTATCATAGTCCCATCTTTGGCAGTTTCATTAACAGAATTTCTATTCTCTGCTTAAACAACTATTACCAATCTCCTACTTCCTGCTCTACTTACCACTGATCAATCCACCACAGAGTTCTCTTATGTGTTGCTCACTGGCTTCCTTCCCCTGAAATTAAACACAGATATCACACACAGACATGATAGTTAGTATCTCATTATAAGGTGATTCATGGTCAAAACTCTAAAAAAACCCAGCGGTGTGGAAGGTTTGATCTGGAGATACAGGATCTTTCACAAAGAATGAATGGTTCAGCAGCCAAAAGGGGTTTTCAGCCAGATGGAGGGGACGTATTGTCTGCTTTAGAAGTTCTTCAAATTAATCTCACATTTTAAAATTTCTTCTTCTTATATTTTATTACTATTATTTTATGCATCCTATGATTGTTTGTATGTACTTACACAAGATGCCAAATACTATTTTATGATTGGTTTAATCTGTTGTTTAATCTGTTGTGTATAGCCTGAGCAGCTACAAAGCAATATAGTATTCGTATCTGTATTCATATTATTTTTTAAATTAGGAGGGGGCAATACAGCTCAGATCTCTCTTAACACACACCCTCTCTACCTGGAGCAATCTGGCAAAACTTGGAAAGTAGACATGGACATACGATCAACCTTCTGCTTTAAGGGCTTCCATAATGAAGTTTGGGCATATTCCTCCTTCACTGGCCAGCACCCTAGTACAAAATTACACCTGTGAAAGGCATGTGGCCTGACTTCAGCTTCTTGTTCCTAATTAACAAACCTCCTACTTGGATCGTTAGATGGGTGCCAACTGGGGCACACCCACCAATCAAAGCAACAATTCATTAATTAGCAGTAAGAAGCCACTGCAGATATATAGTTTGCCTTCCACAGGCATAACTACACAATAGGATTATGGCCATCCTCTCCAAAGGGTTTTGCTGAAGTAATCATCACCGTTCTTTTTTTATTTTTATTCAATTTTGTGTTGTAAGCTGCTTAGAGTGGCCCTCAGACAGATGAGTGGTATATAAATCGAATGGTGGATGGAAGAATGGATGGAAGGATGGATAGATGGATGGATGGTAGTATATAAATCGAATGGATGGATAGGATGGATAGATGGATGGATATGAGCTTCCAGAGCAGTTACTCCTGAAGGTGGATCAAATAAATAAATAAACAAATATCTGGCACTAATCCATTGCATTTTGCAGGAGTAAACATTTTGAAAGAACTTGCAAAGGAGACGTGAAGACAACTTACCGGGGGACCAGTTTTCCCGGTGACTCCAGGGACTCCTTGCTCTCCTTGCAAGCCCATTTTCCCTGGGTGTCCTGGAATTCCTGGCACGCCAACTGTTCCGTTAGGGCCTTGGACTCCTTTGGGGCCCAGCTCTCCCCTTTCTCCTGACTAGGGAGACAGCAAAGTGGATAGAAACAGGTGTAAATCCCAATATGCTGACTCAAGATCTGAAAGCAGATGATGCAGGGACCAGACTGGGACTGTGTAGGTCTCAGATTGGTCTGTGCCTGGATACGGGACTGTTGGAGAGCCGTCAGTGACACCAAGGTGTATTGAATGGTGGGACAGAAGGGGTGTCAATAAGTGCATAAATCATGCTTGCTGAGCCACATAGCTATCCTTGCCCCATCCGATCCTGCTGCAGGTTTCCAGGAATATAAACAGCGGCTTCCATTCCTCTGTGAACAGCACTTATGGGGTGGGCAGTTTTTGTTGGAACCATGGCAAGTGGGAAGCGGTGAGGTTCAATGTTCTTTTTTTTCCCCACCCGCTGCATGATTATTGTATATAAATCACACTTATGAAATGCCTTTGTCTTTAGGTTGTTGGGGTAAGTGCCATGAACGAATCAATTCATTTTGTAACAAATTATTTCCAGTCCCTGTTAATAGCCGTAACTTGGTCCTTATGTTGGAGTAATGTTTTATGTTCTCTTTTATTGACGAGAGACCAGCTCCAGAATCTGGGTTCTGCTGTTGGAAAGGCTCTGCTGAAAGAAGTGCTCTCTTCTGGATTTTGGGGGATCCTTGCTTTCTCTAGAACAGGTCACTCCGTTGATCAACATCCCCCACAATTTCTGCACCATTTTCAGGGAGCCAGAAAGATAATGGATGGATGCACAGGGCAGGCAAGGGCACTTCTGTCAACCTGGTTGCATGGACCTTAATCTGGATCCTGCATGTTTGAGGTGTTCTGAAAAGCTATAAATTTGACTTTTTAATTTTTTAAAAAAATTTATTTGTGGAGTCAGTGCATTCAAGAGCTGCCTTGACACCATTCTGGTGAACATTAGGGTGACAATTTCAAAAGATAAATATACAGCAAATAAATAATAAATATAAAAAAATGATTTAAAAATTGTCTTTAAGGTGCCGCCACATTTCGGTCTTTTTTAAACTTTCTATTTCTATTTTGCTTTTAATCTACAGCAATAATCATATTCACCAAATTGCACAAGCCACATTTTGGTCTTTTTAAAACTTTTCTATTTTTATTTTGCTTTTAATCTATAGCAATAATCATATTCACCAAATTGCACAATAAGCATTTTTAAAAGCCATGTAATCCTTGCATATACTCAGAAACCAGGGCAGACGATACCTTTATTATACCACTAATATCTCAAAAATGGACATCGCACGGCTCTTTGCTAGGATGGGCACGGCAGAGCTGGGGAGAAGGCAATGGTGAGTGAAAATTTCTGGGAGTCTCTTGGCCAGTTGTCAACATCTGGTTCTTTTGCTTAAAGTGGTCTTCAAAAGGTGTGTTGCAGCCTAATAAAATCAGGTCGAGGCAACTGATTTCACTAGAGCATTACTTTCCAAACTTTGGTGCCCCCCCACCCCAAGGTTCTTGGACTGCAATTCCTAGAAATCATGGCCAGCAAAGCTAGCGGTGAAGGCTTACAGGAGTTTTAGTCCAAGAACATCTGGGGCCCCAAGGTTGGGAACCACTGCACTAGAGGCTACATAGATCCTACTGTCTTTCTCCAGTCTCATTTTAAAAAATTATACAGGCAGACAAAAGGATAAATAAATAAACGACTTATAGCACAGCCCCACACATTATTAAACTTTTAAAAAAACAAAAAACAAAACAAAACAACAACAACAAAAATCCAAATTTTCGCTCATTGCAACATATTTAAATTATGGTGGCTTAATCCTTATTCAGCAAGTTATGGAAAGCTTATGCCTGTCTCTGGAGAGGAGGTACTGGTTTGGCCGGTTTGTTTTGAATACCCTTAAAAAGAGTGGCTTAAACTGTTTGGCACGGTTCTCAAACAAGGGAGTATGACCTTACGTTCATAACCGAGAAAGGTGAATTTTAAATTAAATAAGAACAAAAGCAGGAGAGAAAGAACATGCAATAGATCACATTTTATATTTCTTCAGAATGACATTGCCACTAAATATTTTGTATGTGGAACTTACCTCCCCCTTTTGCCCTGGAGGGCCAAAAGGACCCTAGAGAAGGAAAAGAAAGAAAATCTGATTTATTTTGTCACTTGTGCAAACTGCAATAAAAAGTCAACATGGGGAGGTTGAACCCCTCTTTACACCCTATCCAACCCCCACCCCAGGTTTCTCCTTCCTCTGCAGACCATCAGTGTTCATTACATGCTCACTGAGCATGCTTAGTTTTTATTTGGCAGATTGCCTTTGGCCCCTTCTTTAGAGTTTGTTTCTTCCCAAATACCGTTCGTTTTTACTTCTGCATGTACTGGCATTCACTCACAGTGGCCCGACCTCCTGTTTTCTGATCTCATTTTGACCATATAAATATTAACATTTAGGAAAATGGTTCCCAACCTTGGGTCCCCAGATGTTCTTGGACCAAAACTCTCAGAGGTCTTCACCACTAGCTGTGCTGGCAAGGGCTTCTGGGAGTTGTAGTCAAAAAACACCCGAGGGGCCAAGGCTGGGAACCACTGATCTAAGGAATGAAGGCCGCTGTCATTATATAATTAGTGATTCTGTAAATTGCAAAGCGCGTGGCTACTAGTAGGATTTGTACTGTCACTCTTTATCCCTCTGCCCTTAATTTTTGGATCCACGCTGCGATGCTATTCTAGCTCTTTTCAACCAACTGCCTGCTGCAGTAGACCTAAACTTTTTCTGTCAAGAATAGTTTGAGTTAGAGTTTGGACATGAAAATGAAATCCCATATTGGAAATGAAGCATATCTCATGCTGTTTGAAGCAGTTTACCGTGTATGCACATACATGAGATATATTAGCTAGAATCCAATCGATGATTTCTGTTTGTACAAGTGAAATGGTTAAGTCTTAGCTGCAAATTTTGGCTAATCAGGGAGATATGGTTTGCATACCTAGGCTGCAACGCAATCAGGCACATACCCAGATAATGCAACCAGCACCTCGTCAATTAGTGGCAATACAGTGGGGTCTTGACTTAAGAATGGCTTGAGTTAAGAACATTTTGACTTAAGAACCACTCTCATAGGAAAATATTGACTTGACTTAAGTACTTAGATTTGAGTTAAGAACTGAAAAAAACCCACGTGGGAGGCAGGGAAAGTGCAAAAAGTGAACTTTCAGTTCACTGTTGGCCAGTGAAAAGGGTGCCTGTCTGCTTCCTCACTCCTCCCAGCGTTTAGAGAGTGGATTGGGAGACAGTCTTCGGACTGCCTGGTACTGCCTGGACTGTATTTTCCCTGCCTTCCCTGAACCTTTCTTGACCTAAGAAAAAAAGAAACAAAATATCCCCCTCCAGTGGTCGAAGGCGGAATAGCAGCTTCCCATTAGTTTCTGTGGACGGAAAAGAGCAGATACGGATCAAATGGTTCTCAATGCATTCCTATGGGCAATGCAGATTTGACCTGAGAACTTTTTGACTTGAGAACCGCCTTCCAATACGGATTAAGTTCTCAAGTCAAGACCCCACTGTATGATGCTATGGCTTATGTGCTGGATCCTGGCAATTGAGGCCCATTATAAAACACTTATTTGCTAATGGAGGCGTGCCCTCTGGGGTAATGTTTCCAAGACACATGATTGCAGTGGGGCACGGATAAGATGAGCGTTCCACCTCTCCAAATCATAACCATTCCCATATCCACACACTTGAAAGAAAAAGATCATCTGGTGGGGTGTTGCATGAAAACACACAATATACACAATCTCGGTGTTCTCCTGCTTACAAACAGGGCGAGAGGCAGCTAAGACACATTGGCTGGAATCATGTTATACCATTGCACAATCTTTAAGCAGGGATGTTGGCAAGCCTTTGGGTCTGAGCCCCAAGTCCAAGTCTTTGGTCCCACCAAGTCCCGAGTCCCAAGTCCAAGTCCCTATTAAAAACTAGCTTTTCCCCCCAAGAAAAAAAGACAGGGATGGGTGGGTTCAGAGTCACGAGTCGAGTCCGATTCATTGAAAAAACAAACAAACAAACCCCAAGTTGAGTCACTGGGGCAACTTAAGCCTTGACTTGACAGTAAATCCTGTGACTCAGTCCCCGCTCCTGACTTTAAGAGATGAATTGCTTGATTTGTTCTTTCATCTTGAGTCTTTGTCTATTGATGTATTACTTGTTCTACATTTTAAATTGTTTATTTTATATATTGTTAGCCGCCCAGAGTAGTCAGTTGACTAAATGAGCAGAGTACGAATCCAATATAAATGAATGAATGAATGAATGAATGAATGAATAAATAAATAAATAAATAAATAAATAAATAAAAGTTAAGACATCTCCGGAGGGCTCCTAGCTTGGGCAGGGGGTTGGACCAGAAGACCTCCAAGGTCCCTTCCAACCCTACAACAATTCTATTCTATTGATTCCCTGTTGCATGCCGAGTCACGCAACAGAGTATGCAACAGGTGATGTCCACAGCATTTTCTTTACTTACCATAATTCCAAAAATTACGTCATTTGCGTTAACCACACAACAGGATTTAAGCCAATGTTTTTCACACACCTTGTCCATCCCTATACATTTCCTCCCCTTCTTTCCCTCTCTTTCTACTGAACATCTGGATCTCTGCTGGGCATCCAGCACAACCAGAGGAGAGCTTAGAGATAATGTGTTCCAAGCAACAACAGTACCTGCAGTGTATCAATTTTGGGGTGACAATGTCAAATTATCATATAAAAGTGATATAGTGGGGTACAAAGAGTGGGACACCAAGACATTTCAAGACTTTACTGACCCCTTTTACTAGCCGCCTAGAGTGGTCCTGACCCGACCAGATAGGCGCGATATAAATAAAATAAATAATAATAATAATAATNNNAATAATAATACTCTAGCAATCTTAAAATCTGTAGTAATGCAATTTATGTTTAAACCCAACCCGACATTACAGAAGTATCATTTTCTGAATCCTCTGGATTTCAGTGCATTGGAGGGTTCACAGATGCGGGCGATACATACCAGCTCTCCTTTATCACCTGGTAGACCATCGGCTCCTGCAATGCCCTGCAAGTGAAGACATCACCTGATTTTTGTCATTGTTAAAGGCATTTCAAAGTTTGGGGCTCGTCCCATATCTGCTGAGTGTGGGTAGCATCCAGTATAGTGGGACATTGTGGCACTGTTCCCCCAGAAAATCATATGTTGGAAGTGGAATAAGGCGCAACAATACTTTGTGCTAAGGACTAGCTGCCTATAGGGGCAATAATCACAAAGAGAATTAGTTCTATCTGGGTGTTCTTTTTCTATCTGATCTACCGCCTCTTTGGTGTGTAGACTTATACTCTCTTAGCTTTCTCTGTCCCAGCTCTCATGTCGGTAAAGAAGCACCAATATTCTAAGTAACTTATCTGTCTTAATTGGAATTCCAGCAAGAAACCATGTTTTCCTTAGTTCTCCTAAGTCAGTCCGTTGTTGCTTAATTAGACTTTAATCATCGCATCCCCTCTATCAACTCACTGTTCCTTGGCTGCTCCTTTAAATAGCAGGTTCGAGAGAGCATTTGGATTGCTCTTGTATGATAACCTCTTGTAATTTCAATCAACATTACTACTGTATATAGTTTCTCCTAGAAATGTTCAGATTTGTGTCCATGGATTAGAAGTAGCAGGATTCCCCAGGCACCATATTTACAACTGGAAAAAAAACCACAAATCTGCACACCTCTAGTTTCTATAATCATGTTTTATATTAAGTCCTTTTAAATATGTTTTCAACATGCTTGCAAGTTGCCTTGGAGGCCTTTCTACTGAAAGGTGGCATAACAAGAATGACTACAATAGTAATAATAGACCAAAAAATGGTAAGAATAACAACATGTCTGGCAATTTTTTTCCATGGGCACGGACTGAATGTAGAGCAGAGGTGGACAACATGAGGCCGGTGGGTTGCCTGTGATCTCCAGGGGTCAAATCTAGTACATCAGGGGCCTGAGCCCCTCCACATGCCCTCTTTAAAAAAATACAGACGCTATAGTAATGAATCAAAACATAGGTGCCAAACATGGGCAGATCTAATTGGATGTTTGTGTTGTTGATGGAAGACAGATCTGAGAACAGTTGATTCCCCTTCTGTCCACAGCCTCCCATCCCCTGAACATTTCCTCCAGAATCCTGGGAAACTCTAAAGAGTAGAGTTATGGCTAGCATGGGAGGATGTGGGAGGAGGAACAAGATGAGACAGCCGTGATGCAGACATTGCACAGAGAAGGACACTGTATTGCTGGGTTGGCGGGTGGCAATTGTTCCATCAAGTCACCTGCCCGACCCTGTCCCACTTTTTAAAAGTCCAGTCCAAATTGACTCTCTGGCCTATTTCTACAAAATGCTTGACACGTGGCCGCTTAGGGTGTGGTGGAAAATAGAGGAAGTGAAAATTGGTGGTCTGTATCTACTTCACAGGGCTGTCGTGCAAATAAAGTGAAGGGAAAGGGGGAAGCAAGGCATGCTGCCCTGAGCTTATCAGAGGACAGGAAGGATAGAAATATAAGAAGTGAAGAAATAAATAAAATTGATCAGAATCATGCCTATTTCTTTGGATTTTTCCAGTGGCTAAATGTCCTGTTATGTCAAGACAGGAAAAGATAGGAGCAGTAAAGTTACAGTTGTGGAATTAACGGTGATAGTAGTTTTAATGGTTGTTGTGGCTTTCAGCTTACCTGGTTACCTTTCGATCCAGGAACTCCGGTAGGACCCTGGGGAGGAAAGAAGGGGACATGGAAGGGAAAACATTTAGGCCAAAGATACAGAGAAAAAAAAATCAAAATGGTGGTTCAGGTGGTGCTTCACAGTCTTTCCTGACTTGAACATCCTACACATATGTTGAACAACATCACCCATCATCTCTCACTCAGCAGGGCTGTGCTGGCTGGATTGATGGGTGTAGTACTCCACTATGTCAGTAGATTGTAGGCTAAGGGAGGCTGGATTAGACCAGAAGATTGGTCAGGTTTTAGATATTAAGCGAAGAGGTTACTTACCTGTAACCATAGTTAAAGCGGGTTGTTATCCACAAACTGCTGTAGCAATCATAACAGTTGCGGGCCTTCTTGGTTTTTCTTCCTGATCTGGAGCAAGACGTGGGCCAATGTGTGCGTTTGAGGGACTTTCGTTCCTGGTAAAGGTACGTAGAAGCAGGGAAGCACTAGCCAAAATTCCATCTTTGATGCCTGCACATGCAATGCAAAATGTACCATTTTTGGAGGTGAATTGTTGTAAGTTAAAAAGCCAGCAAAGACATTAATTGTGGCACATTGACCAGTGCCACTTGGCACACAGTGATCAGGCTTATGTTGACTTCTTAATTTGAGGCCATCCACCTCCAAAAATTGGCATAGAATCACACTAGAACTTGGGCCACTATATATTCTTAAATCCAGTAACTAATTTAATCAACTTGAAACGCTTTAACTGGTTTCCAACCCCAGCACATGCCCTGACATTTGGTATGTTACATTTTGGAACAGTTCACATCGTGCTATAGCTATCGCCTTCCTTTTGCCTTAGATTGGATAGTGGAAAGGGCATGGTGTCTAGAAAAGGTCACTTTACAAGGATCAACCTCCCTTAAAACAGCCTTTCTGGGTTTTTTGGGGGGGAATCGCTCCAGCCCAGCCCCCAAAAGTAGTAGCCCTACAGCTGGCCCAAAATGCAATCTGTTTCCTTGTGTGATCACATCCTTAGGCTAACAAATAAAGATGCAGTTTGGTTGCTTTCTGTACATACTCTGTAGACCTACACACACCTTCTTGGCCATTCTCCCCTAGGGAAGATTGTAGACCATGCTTTAAAACAAACAAATACTATGAAAAGACGGTGGCTTTACTGAGCTAATTGAACAACTGTGGAATGCATTGACATACACCATGCATAAATCTCTAGAGATACTACATGTTTTTGCTGTTCTTAGCCCCTCCCCCTTTTCAGGCAGGGCATCTGTGCTTTTTGCCACTGAAGGGGAAGGCTTCGTGCTATGGACACTGATGCTGATCTTAGTGAACAAGTGCCAGGTCGTGAATGGCATGTGGGCAGGCAGATTCTGGTGGGAGCAGTGCATTCAAGCCCCGCCCATTTTGCCCAGCGAAATGACATTGCATGCGGTGAGGAAGTCAATTTTGACATGTGGCTCTAGGTTGAAAGAATTTCTATGGCATCTCACCCTTCAACACCGCCACATGTTGCAGAAGGCCTCATCTTTTAAAGAGGCATCCTCTGAAAGCTAGTTTTAAGATGATGCCTGACGTGTAAGGATTTGCATTAAAAGCAATGATCAGAAATTAAATCTGCTGCACAATAAATCAGTGGCATCTTTCAGCTGATTAAAGGAAAAAACTTATGTAAGGGTTCAATCACACCTGCCAAAAGGACTCCAATTATACTGATTTTGCTGTCATTTAAATTGTTTCATAATTTTCCATTCACACGACACACAGCCAATATCAATTCATTTCCCTGGCAGTTGGTTTATTTCCTCTTTGCTGGCAGGTTTTTTTTTTAAATGGTACTAATGATGTATCAATTCATTCTTTATTGTTCTGGCACATATGACTGTTGCTGTCAATTTATTTCCTTTGCAAAAGGATTGGAGTTCTGGGTACTGTGGCCACTTCATGGCCACTGTGCTTGTACCCTTTACTATTTTTATTTTAAAAGGCATATTGATACATCAGAGCAGCCACCACACATACACACAGACACACAAGGAGTACATTGCGCCAAAGCACCCTTGTAGGTAGGGAAAAAAGACCTTTGCAGAAAAGAAAGGACCATTTCCTGCTTGAGATTGTTTGAAGGGAAAAAGAAAGATGTGGGGGAGGGGAGGCCATGAATATACTGCTCAGAAGGAGAGAGCTCAATGGAGACAGCTTTCTCTCTCTGCCCCCCCCCCCCGCCACCGCGCATCGAAAGGGAGTGCTTCTATGCGAGTTTTGGCGTCTTCGTTGATACCAGACGACCTGAGCCAGGCATGGCGTCGCAGAATGATAGAGGAAACCATGGTCTTGGAAGCAATGTCAGCAGAATGTCTGGAAGCAAGAAGCTGATGCTTGGCTACATTAGAGGCTTCTTCAAAGGTGTTGAGGAAAAAGGACCGAACATCATCTGAAGTGTCTTGCAAAGCAGGTAAGACCCTTTCCCACAGCTCCATCTGGTAAGCTGCCATTGCTGCTTGATAGTTAGCAGCTCTAATCAAAAAGGTAGTGAAAGAATACATTTTCCTACCTAGCACATCCAACTTCCTGCCTTCCCTATTGGAGGGGGTGGCTTGGGTCTTTGATGAAGTTTTAGACTGGTTGGATTGCACGATTATAGAATTAGGGATAGGATGTTTGGTCAGAAATGCAGCGTCCTCACCATGGGTTTTGTAGTGGTTTTCGACTCTCCTAGTCACCTGTGAAGACGTTGCTGGAGCAGACCATGACTCCTTGACTGTGTTCATGAGAGAAGGAATGAAAGCAATACTGAGTGGAGGTGCTTTGTCCTTTTCAATTCTGCCAAAAACAAGATCATCAGTAGGAGGTGGGGGTTTTTCAATGTCCAGTTTAAGGGCTCTTGCCATACGGGACACCATTTGTACATAAGAGGAATAGTCCTCAGAAGATGAATTATGAATGTCAGAACTGCCCTGCTCAGATGGAGCCTCAGCGTTGGACTCATCATCTGACCTCTCTGATGGTGCTGAAAATGGTGCAGGGGATTCCTGTAAGGGATATCTGTCCCTTGGCAGAGATGGTTCTGGAGAGGATGGTCTAATAGTTGTTCTATGTGGCTTCCTAGGGGCTACCCCAGAGAAGGGTGCAGCAGAGGAAGGTGCAGTTTTTTGCCTAGTATGGGCTGTTCCCAATGAGGTGGACTTATGGGATTCAGCAGCCTTTCTGTGTTTGTGCTCTGTTTTCGATTCCAATGAGTGATGTGTCCTATATTTTTCTCGAGGACGGTGTCGGGGGGGCGAGGGTGAGGGGGACGAGGAGGAGGCATAGATGTAGCGGACCCTTTTCCTCAGGTGTCGCGCCTCATCCTCCGACCAAGAATCTGAGTCATCAGCGATGTCCCGCCGCCGCCGATGGAGATGATCGAGATCAATCACATAGGGCCCCTTGTTTCCCTCCTTTTCCCGACGGCGAGCTGCCCTTGGGAGGATGAGAATTTCCCTCGTAGAATGGTGACGATGAGGGGGGGAGCAATGCTTTAATTTCGCTGCTCGTTTTCGCGGCGGTGAGGCTGGAACTGGTGATCGCGAAAAGGAGCGCGAGTGGATGGATAACGCCCGCCCGGCTGACGCAGGGCTGAGAGGGGCAGAACCGGCACTAGAGATATGCTCTTCCTCTAGTGGGGGCGGGCTAGGTGAACGGCTACGCCTCCTGGCTGATGCCGATCCCTGCCGGGGAGGAATAGGTTCAATGTCCTCAGTGCATTCCTCCGCAATTCCTTCCTCCTCCTCCAGAATCGGGGGTGGTGGTGAACTTGGAGCAGCCAGAATGGAGCATAACCGATCCTCCCCTTTGGAAGCAGATCCCTTTTGAGATCTAGCAGAGACCCTTTCCTTTTTCTTTTTCATAGGGTCTGCTGCGGAAGATTTCACCCTCGAAGTTGCTTTGTGGGCGGGAACCTCAGAGGAAACAGCCGGGGCAACGGAGGCGCCGGGCGCCGGTAAGGCTGCACGAGGAGCCGAGGAGGAAGACTTTTTTGTTGGTTTCCCTGCTTTAGAAGTGAGCTGAGGAGGCAATGACTTAGCTCCGCGCTCAGATTTAGACCCAAGAGAGGCAGCTGGGGGAGGCTCCATAACGGTGTGCGTCAAGGCAGACAGAGCTGCTTCCCAGAGGAAAGGGCGGAGCTGCTGCTGGCGCGCTCTGAGGGCAGCTCGAGTAAAGTTTTTACAATGGCTGCAGGATCGAGCCAAATGCCCCTCTCCCAGGCAAAACAAACAGTTCTCGTGAGCGTCTGAGGACGGTAGCTTTCGGCCACACGAGACACACTTCTTAAAGGGGCCCAAGGGGGGCATAAAATCAGGGAGGGAACTCACTGATCGGACCCGAAGGCGGGCTCTGGCGTGGTCAGGCAGTCCGAGGTCAAACCGGAGAAAGGGAAAAAGACAATCCAAATCGCAAAGGCGAGAACTCAGTCCAAATCCAGTCCAAAGTAGGGGCAAAGAATAGTCGTATATAAAGAGTTGTTGAAAAAGCCGAAGAGGCAATCAGTAAGAAGAGCTCTATCGAGGAGTTCCTAACGCTGAAGGCGGTAAAACGGAACTGAGGCTAAGGGCGGGAAGAGCGTGCGCTGTAGGGGCACCAATTAATTAACTTGTTTTTTTCTCTAAAGCTCTAGAAATTTCCGAGGATTCCGGCGCAGGCGCGGACTTAACCCTATAGTGTGCATTCACAGAGGTCACGAACGAAGAAGGGTTGTTATCCACAACCTGTAGCAATCGTAACAGCTGTGGGCCTTCTTGGTTTTTCTTCCTGATCTGGAGCAAGACGTGGGCCAATGTGTGCGTTTGATGGACTTTCATTCCTGGTAAAGGTAAGTAAAAGCAGGGAAGCACTGGCCAAAATTCCATTTTTGATGCCTGCACATGCAATGCAAAATCTACCATTTGTGGAGGTGAATTGTTGTAAGTTAAAAAGCCAGCAAAGACATTAATTGTGGCACATTGACCAGTGCCACTTGGCACACAGTGATCAGGCTTATGTTGACTTCTTAATTTGAGGCCATCCACCTCCAAAAATTGCACCTTTTGCATTACACTGGCATAGAATCACAGTAGAATTTGGCCACTATATATTCTTAAATCCAGTACTGTAACTAATTTAATCAACTTGAAATGCTTTAACTGGTTTCCAACCCCAGCACATGCCCTGACATTTGGTATGTTACATTTTGGAACAGTACACATCGTGCTATAGGTATCGCCCTCCTTTTGCCTTAGATCGGATAGTGGAAAGGGCATGGTGTCTTATTGCACTAGAAAAGGTCGCTTTACAAGGATCAACCTCCCTTAAAACAGCCTTTCTGGGGGGTTGGGGTTGGGAATCGCTCCAGCCCCGCCCCCAAAAGTAGTAGCCCTACAGCTGGTCCAAAATGCAATCTGTTTCCTTGTGTGATCACATCCTTAGGCTAACAAATAAAGATGCAGTTTGGTTGCTTTCTGTACATACTCTGTAGACCTACACACACCTTCTTGGCCATTCTCCCCTAGGGAAGATTGTAGACCATGCTTTAAAACAAACAAATACTATGAAAAGACGGTGGCTTTACTGAGCTAATTGAACAACTGTGGAATGCATTGACATACACCATGCATAAATCTCTAGAGATACTACATGTTTTTGCTGTTCTTAGCCCCTCCCCCTTTTCAGGCAGGGCATCTGTGCTTTTTGCCACTGAAGGGGAAGGCTTCGTGCTATGGACACTGATGCTGATCTTAGTGAACAAGTGCCAGGTCGTGAATGGCATGTGGACAGGCAGATTCCGGTGGGAGCAGTGCATTCAAGCCCCACCCATTTTGCCCAGCAAAATGACATTGCATGCGGTGAGGAAGTCGATTTTGACATGTGGCTCTAAGTGGAAAGAATTTCTATGGCATCTCACCCTTCAACACCGCCACATGTTGCAGAAGGCCTCATCTTTTAAAGAGGCATCCTCTGAAAGCTAGTTTTAAGATGATGCCTGACGTGTAAGGATTTGCATTAAAAGCAATGATCAGAAATTAAATCTGCTGCACAATAAATCAGTGGCATCTTTCAGCTGATTAAAGGAAAAAACTTATGTAAGGGTTCAATCACACCTGCCAAAAGGACTCCAATTATACTGATTTTGCTGTCATTTGTTTCATAATTTTCCATTCACACGACACACAGCCAATATCAATTCATTTCCCTGGCAGTTGGTTTATTTCCTCTTTGCCGGCAGGTTTTTTTAAAAATGGTACTAATGATGTATCAATTCATTCCTTATTGTTCTGGCACATATGACTGTTGCTGTCAATTTATTTCCTTTGCAAAAGGATTGGCTTTTTGGATGCTGTGGCCACTTCATGACCATTGTGCTTGTATTCTTCTTCTTCTTTTTGTTTTTTAAAGGGATAACAATTAATACATTGCTCAGGAGGAGATAGCCTTCCACCCTCCTGGTGGGTGAAAGAGAGCTTGAGCAGAAAAATAGGACATTTCCTGCTTTGAATTGTAAAGGAAGGGGTGTTGCATTAATGTCTCTTTTTTTCAACCGTGCTCTTCACAATACTTTGCAAGTCTTCTAAAGCTCACTTCCTCCCCTCAATGCTGTTCAGAAGTGAAAAGAAAAATGATAGCCAAGTACTGAGAGGGGGGGCTATGCAGGTAAATAAGGGAAAGTGGATATATGAGTAAAGGAGGGAAGGGAAAAAGGGGAGGAGGAGAGAAGGTTGACATCGCTTCATTGATATACCAGTTTTTTAAAAATTAAGGAAAGGGGGCATTATTGCCCAAGAAACAGTAGAGAAGAGGAATCAATTTGAAAGTAAAGAGCACCATAGCCTGCTATAATGGTTCAAATAGAAATTAACTGGTACAGTTAAAACAATGTAAAAGCTACCACCAAAATATATATATAAGAGGGGTTATTTGCAGCTCAAGTAAGAATAGCAACATTATTCCCAATGATGCTTATGAAGCCACAGTTTGGTCTGTGTTTTCCACTTACCCTCTCACCATACTCCCCTCGAATTCCAGTAGGCCCTGGAAGGCCAGGCTCTCCACTTGCACCTTTACGACCCTGAAAAAATTAAGAAAAAATGTATTTTACTGTAAAGAGATTACTTGGGAAAGTATGATTACATCAAACTACCTAGTTGCTCTTAGTGATGTCAGTTATGTACCCCCTTTCATCAGAGTTTTGGTTTCCTCTCAGGCTGAGAAATGGACATAGAAAGGAAAGGCAAGCAACTCCCAAGTAAAACCAACCAACCACTTGGAAATGATGACTGACATTCTGTTGCTTTGTTGCTCATGCAAGAAGGCCAAAAGGCATAACGTTCAGTCATTTCTAGCTGGCAATTAACAAGTCACTGTGGGGCTTTTTTGGGGACGTATGCCCCCTTTGCCTTGTTGCGTACCTGACAATCCCAGCAGAGATTCCTTCATTGCTGGCTGAGAATGAATGAATGTTATGCCTTTTGTGCAACAAATAACAGGATCCCAGCAATTGCATTTAATGCCCCCAAACTCATGATTTTTTTCAGCAGTACTTCTATGATTTATAAAACGCCAGAACGATTGATATTTGGAGTATTAACGAATCTTTTGCATTCATTTAATTTGGTCTTTGGGAGGAAAAATATTTATTTCATTGAGGAGTTTTCATTAGGGTTTTTTTGGCATTTAAAATGAATGTGTTTATTGCATGTTCATTACCATTAAAGCAACGAGTCTGTTTCATATATTCTCCTGCACTTGTCAAATATTATTTTCTCTCCTTTCATGTTTTCACATTGACTTAATGTGAGTGAATTAATTTCCTATTTAATAATCGTGTGCTGCCAATTCTGACTCATGGCAGCCCCACCCAGGGTTTTCCAGGTAGAGAATGCTCAGAAGTGCTTTCTCATTCCTTTCCTCCAGGGGGTGCCCTGTGACTGTGCAGCTGGCCCAAGGCCACACAGGCTGGCTCATAGGAACCACAGTGGGGAATCAAACTCCTGACCTCTGGCTCTGCAGCTTGATAACTATCCAGACAGCCACTGGGTGTTAATTTTTCTATTTAATATTGGCTAAAATCCTCTAGCACAAAGTTATGCCCATGATCTAGACAGTTAGTAGTCATTTTCAAGCATGGAAGTCTCCCTTCTGTCTTGAGGCTCCCAAACGCTTCTCCCAGGTCAAAAGGGATCCCAATGGGGCAGGAGGAACAGGAAACTTTAAATGAATGGTAAAAGCCTAGGGATGATGATGTAGTCAGGTTGTGCAGCATAAATGTACGTATGGAAGAGGATTCAGGCCAGTAATGTATTGGCATCCACACTAATGTTCCCAAGCTCTCAGAAACAAAACAGAGGAAGGAACATGGAAACATGGCTTTGGAAGGTGGGCCAGCTGTAGTTCTGGACTTAGAAGGACCTATTCCATGTTACTCTGGGAAAGGGTGAGGAGAAGAGGGAGAGGAAGGGGAATGCAAAGATGCAAAAGGCAGAGGGAAGCAGGTGCATGGGATAGAGAAAGTATCTACACCACACAGCTCATATTGCAACTTGATTCCTCTTTAACTGTCATGGTTCCATCTTCTCGAACATTGCTTCCCAACCTTGGGTAACCCAGGTGTTCTTGGACTGCAACTCCCAGAAATCCTGGCCAGCCCAGCAAATGGCAAATGGCTTCTGGGAGTTGCAGTCCAAGAACACTTGGGATGGTCAAGGTTGGGAACGACTGCTCAAGAATCCAAGGATTTGCAGAGTCCTTTTCCAGAGAGCTCTGGTGATCTTCCAAGACCAACAGAGCATTCTAACGACAGATTACCGAACCACAGATCCTTTCTGAAACATGGAGCCACGTACCGGACGTGGTATCAAACCGCAATAACTGTATAGTGTCTGTAAACTCAGAAAGAATACTTCCGATTCCAAAATACAGACCCTGGCCAAGGTGGAGACAGCGCTCTCTGCCAGAGGAAGCCCAAAGGGCACCACCTCTTAATCTGAAGGTTCCTTAATGGGATGAGAGATGGCAACATCTTCACCTAACTAACTGAGCAATAATTCCCCTCATGCTTCAGATCTGAAAATATGAATTGGAGGAGTGTAGAGGAAAGGAAACATGGTAAAGAATTCACATGGGCTTCTGACGATTTGGTGATTCTCTCCGGAGAGGCTCCCAGGATATGTCATGTTCATCACTTGATGTCCTTCCCTTCAGGTAGCCTTTTTTTCAGGCCTGTTTTAAATAATTGCTGTAGTTAAAATGACTGACCTGAAAGCCTCTTACGCCTGGTGGTCCCATGGGGCCTTGTAGACCAAGTGCTCCCTGAAAAATAGAAAAGGAAAAGGAAAAAAAAGCAAGAGACAGAAGAAAATATCCACATTAACAGGTATTCTTCTTTCTTTGTGATCACTTTGTTAAGCTCAGAATTATTTTTGTCCATTTTATTCTGCCCTAAATGGCCAAAGAATCCCTTCACAATATGACTTCACCGGCTTGGGGTAGATTCATGGGTTTAAAAAATATTTCATTGCATTCCCAAACTCTGTTAAGGTGGGTCTCCTTGGACACTTCTCAGTTTCTCATTAATATTTTAATACAGTAAGCCCTCCTTATCCATGGGATCAGTATCCGTAGAGTCACTTATTCAGTCTGGAAATGTTAAAAATATTAAAAGAAAAACCACCCAAAATATATATTTCTAATGATAAAGTTTTCAGAACTGGCCACTAGAGGACACCAGCCACCATGTTATGTATATGTTTGCTAGAGAAGTATATTTCTATGATGTAATTACCAGAACTGGCTACTAGAGGGAGACAGAGGCCATTTATTAATTTAACTATATAACCTATACAGTAACTATATAACCATGCTATATATGTAATAGCGTTCTCTATGATCTGCATTTTTCAGCATCTGTGGGGGTGGGTTGCTTGCAACTGATCCCCTGCAGATACAGGGGTCCTACTGTATAGCATTACACATAAGAGATTGCATTGTGCGTTTTCTGACCAACCTTACTCTTCTATCTTATCATCATCATGCTGTGGTTTTTAAAATCTACTTTTTTCCCTCCCCATTCCCCACAAATCTGTTTTGCTTTGCCATCAGTATTTTAATGGCCATAAAGAAATGAAAATAAAAAGCTTGCCTATATAATTTGAATGATTAAAACAATGCGGGTGTATTTCCTTTTTTGATTCCATACTATCTCAAAAGCTTAGGTGGATTAGACTGCAAGCAAGCACTGAAAATGCAGCTGTTAACCTGAATTCTTTACTTCAAATCTTAACATCCGGTCATGGGTCAATATGATTAACCAAGACCTTAAGAGACCTTGGCGATCACGAACAAAGGTTTGATGTAAACAGTTCTCACTATTCAGTTCAAAGTGAAAACGTGCGTTAATAATTTGCAATTCTTGAACACAGGGTTTCTCACCTCCCCCCACCCCCATGCATGTGAATTTTGGTGGAACATAAAAATATTTTATGTTCCCTTTCGAGCCAGCTGGAACCAATTACCCTCCAATTCTGTCTTCCTAGATTTGTTGCAATGATGCAAACGATGTTTCTTTGTTTTTCACATCCATTTTTCTTTCCCTTGGAAAATTTAGCAAACCAGTCAGGCAGCCTAAATGCCTCCTTTTGCCACTTGACAGCTAGCCTGGGGCCTCTGTGAGAAATTAGCTCAGCGATTCAGTCAGATTTTTGATTAAGCAAAGGAGAAGTAAGGGAAGTAAGATTCATTCTCTCTCTCTCTCTCTCTCAAATCTAAGCTGCACGCTGAGAGATAATTGCTAGGGCTCATTAGATGCAACATGGAAATAAATATTTATCTTGTATTAAGACTCTGAATTAAAGTAGATTCTTAATATCACAGTATTCCAAGAAGAATCTAAGAAATCTAAGCCACCACTGAAAAGTTTGTATCTGTTTTACAACATTTTAGTTCGATACGTGCCATCAAGTCAGAACTGACATATAGTGACCTTAACAAGGCTTTCAAGGTGAGTAAGCTATTTAAGAGGTGGTTTTAACAGTTCCACACCCCCAGTGAGTTTCCATGGCTGAGCATGGATTTGAACTCTGATCTTCAAAGCCCGAATCCACCAATCTGTCCACACCAGGTATTGCCTAAACCATCTACTCTAACATACTTGGTAATGGCTAGTCAGCATCTAAAGTTGCATTCAAAGAATAGGAGAGGTATGTGCTGAGATGGGGCACTCAGCCTTTGCATTTCACCTCAGACAAGGGGGTGGTGTTTCAGTCCAGAAGAAAGAGACTGTGACGTATATGGGGCAAGGATCTGGTATGCTGTGAAGTGCCCATGCTTATCAGTGTCCCATGGTGGCCCAATGGTTAGGGTAACTGGACTGGACTGAGGTCACTGAGCTTCAATACCCACTCAGCCATGAAGTTCACCTAGTGTCTTTGGCCAATCACTCTTCTTCAGCGTGACCTACCTCGTAGGGGTGATGTGACAATTAAAAGGGTAAAGAAGACTATGTGCAATGCTTTCTTTTCCTTGGAGGAACTTCCACCATTAAAAACAAACAAGCAAAAATAATACAGAGGGCACCTCCTCACTGATAGACTATCTTGTTATTTGGGTCACTTTTGGTGACGTTTGGTTTAGAGTGCCCATGTGTATTTTGAGAGTAGTCCACCCTGCCTCTGTTTTACAGCTGCCTCACTTGTTTTTGGCACAGCGGTAGGGTTACAGTTCTTTTGTCATGATTTGGAGTGCTCCTAATTAGCCTATTCTATAGTCCTTGTGGACGGTTAGTCTGCACCAAAATAGAGCTGTGGATGGTGTTCCCTGAGGTGACAACTCTGTGACCAGCCTATTCTGTAGTCCTTGCGGACTGTTAGTCTGCACCAAAATAGAGCTGTGGGTGGTGTTCCCTGAGGTGACAACTCTGTGACATATTTGGTGGGTTGTGGTATTGAAAGAGACAACTGAAAACCCCCTCCTCTATTTTCTACTCTACCAATTTCAATTCGTTAAAATATATTTTCCTACTGGTGCAGCGCTATTCAAGATAAACAAGATACATTGGTGGTATTAGGTATACCATACAAGGTAGATGCAATGCTGTTTCACTATTTCACTTGCTCTGTTTAATAACAACACAAAAGGAAAGTCATGGTTTGGGGACACATTACCTGTTGGAGTGTCTTTTCCCAATGTCATCTGCCTGACCCACCAGATCTTCTCAGGCCAGGTTTCTCTGTGTAGCCACCCTGAGAGAGGCTTGAAAGTCATCTACAAGACGTAAGGCCTTATTGGCGGTGGCCCCTATGTTATTGAATCAACTCCCAGAGGAGCTATGCCTGCTGGCAGTGGCCCCGATGTTATTGAATCAACTCCCAGAGGAGCCATGCCTGCTCTCCTCCCTGTATTCATTTAGTAGGCAGTTAAAAACACTACTATTTAGGGAGTAGAATAGTACTTTCTAATAGTACAACACTACTTTCACCTCGCCTCCAGCCTTGCTTCTCTTTGAAAATTGGTTGCACCACTGTTTAAGTTTTTAGATCACGTTTTTGTTATATTTACTTCTATGTAGCTTGTTTTAACTATCTGTAAGCCATCCAGAATAATGCTTCAACACTAACAGAGTGGTATATAAATCAAAGTACTAAATAAAAAAAATTAAAAATAACAGTGGTCCACTGAATGACAGCCACAAGAAAAGACAGGAAAAAGGTTGGGAAGGAGAGAGTCGTTAATCAAAAGGGGGACAAACTGGGATGATCCAAACACTTGTCTGGACCCTTCTTGGGGGGAGAAAAAACATCAATCCTTGTGAACAGAAGGAAGGCTCAAGTGAGAGATAAAATAGATTGCACTAAAGATAAGTAAGCATGAACTAGACTGCACCAACTTCTCCTGTCTGGAGCTGCCCAGAGCTGTAGCTCAGGTTGCACCCAATCTTTGCCCGTCTGTAGCTCAGGTTGCACCCAATCTTTGCCCTAAAGATGAACTGGAATGTGTTAAATTAGGATGACTGGTTACTTACAGAAGATCCTCTTGGACCGGGATTGCCTCTTTCCCCAGGGATACCGCGCTCACCCTGAGAATAAGAACACAGTGTTACTCGAATATTTACAATCAGCACAGTTCCGCGGTTCACTCAGTCACTGAGCTATACTTGAGAGATGTGTAATTCATTTCCTTTTGCAATAACTAAGACGACAGAAATTGTGGAAAGATTGTCATGCAATGATATCTAACTTCATTCCTTTTGCAGTATAACTGCAATTAACTGCTGCTACAGTTTTAAGGAATAGATAGCTGCATTACCTAAGGTTTAGATTATACCTGACTAGACTAGTGGTTTTTCCTACTTTCTTCAGTTTAAGCTTTCAAGCTTAAACTGAATTTTGCTATAAGAAGCTGATGATCAAAGCCACAATCAGCTCCAGGTCTTGTTTTTGATGACTGTATAGAGCTTCTCCATCTTTGGCTGCAGAGAATATAATCAATTTGGATTTCTGTATTGCCAATCTGGTGATTTCCATGTATAGAGTCGCCTCTTGTGTTGTTGGAAAAGAGTGTTTGTGATGACCAGCTTGTTTCCTTAACAAAACTCTGTTAGCCTTTGCCCTGCTTCGTTTTGAACTCCAAGGTCAAACTTTCCTGTTGTTCATTTTATCTCTTGACTGCCTACTTTAGCATTCCAGTCCCTTATACCGTAAAGACAAGAACATCTTTCTTCGGTGTCAGTTCTAGAAGGTGTTGCAAGTCTTCATAGAGTTGGTCAATTTCAGTCTCCTCAGCATTGGTGGTTGGTGCATAAACTTGTATTACTGTGATGTTGAAAGGTCTGCCTTGGATTCGTATTGAAATCATTCTATCATTTTCGAGATTGTATCCCAATACAGCTTTTCCCACTCTTTTGTTGACTACGAGGGCAACTCCATTTCTTCTACGGGATTCTTGCCCACTATAGTAGATATGATAATCATCTGAATTGAATTTGCCCATTCCCATCCATTTTAGTTCACTGACGCCCAGGATGTCAATGTTTATTTTTGCCATCTCCTGTTTGACCACATCCAGCTTCCCAAGGTTCATAGATCTTACATTCCAGGTTCCTATGCAGTATTTTTCTTTGCAGCATCGGACTTTCCTTTCACTTCCAGGCACGTCCACCACTGAGCATCCTTTCGGCTTTGGCCCAACCACTTCATTAGCTCTGGAGCTACTTGTACTTTTCCTCCGCTCTTCTTCAGTAGCATATTGGATGCCTTCCAACCCGAGGGGCTAATCTTCCAGAATCATATCTTTTAGCCTTTTGTTTCTGTGCATGGCGTTTTCTTGGCAAAGATACAGGAGCGGCTTGCCAAATCCTGCTCCAGGTGGATCACTTTTAGTCAGAACTCTCCACTATAGCCTATTCATCTTGGTGTCCCTGCATGGCATAGCTCCTAGCTTCTCTGAATTACTCAAGCCCCTTCGCCACGACAAGGCAGCAATCCGTGAAGGGGTGAAGGTTTTGTCACACTAGCCAGCAGCTTATAGCATTCTGTGTTTTTTAGAAAAACATTGTTACTTCAGATAGCATGAAAGTCGCATTTTCAGAAAGGTAACCATGTTAGTCTATTTCAGCAACAAGAAACGCAAATGTATACATGTTTCCTGCACCTGGAACAGTGGAGTGGAACCCCACTGAAATAAATCTGTGCCACAATACATTTATTTCTGTCTTGGTTGTCAAGAAAGTATAGAATAATAGGATGATGAAGTTGGAAGGAGCCTATAAGGCTGTCGAGTCCAACCCCTTGTTCAATGCAGGAGTACAAATCAAAGGATATCTGCCAGGTAGTTGTCTAAATTTCTCTTGAATGCCTGCAGTGTTGGAACACTCACCAACTCCCAAAGTAACTGGTTTCACTGTCATACTGCTCTAACAGTTAGGGAGTTTTTCTTGATATTCAACCGAACTCTGGCTTCCTTTAACTTGAGCACATTGTTGCATGTCCTACACTCAGGGAGGATCGAGAACAGATCCTGCCCCTTCTCTGTATGACAGCCTTTCAAGTATTTGAAAAGTGCTATTATATCTCTTCTCAGTCTACTTTTCTTATGGTTAAACCTTGAATTTCTTCTTCTAAAAATAATTAGTGATAGAAGTAATTGTAATTAACTATTTGAGGGCTTGGTATTGTGATGAAACTGTTGTTTTCTTTAAAGAAAAACCATTTATGAGCTCCAGGATAATGGGTGATACGCCAGAGCTCACCATCAAGACTGATACAGGATAAAATGAAGTATGAGCAGGAAGCATGAAATATGGATGAGATACGTACAGGTATACCTGGCTCTCCTGAAGGTCCAGACTCTCCCATTTCTCCAGAATCACCCTGTAGTGGAGAAGGGAACACAAAAATAAGACTTGAGCATTTCTATATTCTCTTTACAAATAAATGAGCCATCATTCAGATGAATAATAGCTCGGCTTCTTTAGCTTGATTGTCGAAAAAGGGAGGGACAAAGCTGAGGAAACGAAAGGAGATGCTACCACGGCAGGGCCACCTGCTGACTGGAGGCGGACATATTAGGCCAGCATTTTCAAGCTTACCCCTTCCCTTTGCAGATTCAGTGACGTTCATTCAGTTGCATATTTTTAAATAAAGGCTTCCCAAAATTAGTAGATGTCTCCAGGAAATTTGAAGGAATTTGTAGATTTGAGGGGAAAATGAGCTTTGAAACTTTCAAGTGTGGAAAAAAAAATGAAACTGACAGAGTTGTCCATCTGAAAAATTTCTCCCATTCAAAGATTTTGGCAGGGGAGGGCAGGTAATGTTTACATATACCCTAACACCTCATCCAGGAAGATGGAGACACTTGCATTGAATGACTTCTAGGGTATTTTACTGACCCCCTGCCAATGCTCATGTATTGAGGGTTAACAGAAGGATTACAGTTAATGAGTCTTGTATTTTTTGAACCCACTGTGAATTAAAACAAGTCACAAAGTCATGGAGTTGGGAGAGGCCTATAAGGCCACTGAGTCCAACCCTCTTCTCATTGCAGGAATCCCAGTCCAGGTATATTTGACAGATGGTTGTCTAATTTTCTCTTGAATGCCTCCAGCATTGGAGTGCTCACCACCTTCCAATGTTTCTATTGTTGTAATAGTTGAGAAGTTCTCTAATAGCTGGGAAGTTTTTCCTGGTATTCCAACAAGATCTGACTTCCTGTAACTTGAGCCCATCATCTAGGATGACGAAACACATCCAGCTCCTCCTCTGGATGACTACCTTTCAAGTATTTGAAAAATGCTATCCTTTTCTCAAGGCTAAACCTGCCCAGTTCTTTCAGTCTTTCCTCACAGGGCTTGGTTTCCAGTCCCCAAATCATCTTTGTTGCCCTCCTCTGAACTTCTTCTAGTTTGTTGGCATCCTTAAAGTTTGGTGTCCAGAACCAGATGCAATACAGTGGTGCCTCGCTTTACGATTGCCCCGCATTATGACAAATCCACATTATCACGATCTTTTTGCGATTGCAATTGCGATCGCAAAACAATGGTCTGAATGGGGGAATTTCACTTTGCAATGATCGGTTCCCTGCTTCGGGAACTGATTCTTCGCAAAACGACAATTTTTCAACAGCTGATCGGTGGTTTCAAAATGGCCATCGGGTAAATAAAATGGCTCCCCGCTGTGTTTAGGGACGGATTCCTTGCTATACAGGCAGCAAAAATGGCTGCTGTATGGAGGATCTTCGCTGGACAGTGAGTTTTAAGCTCATTGGAACGCATTGAACGGGTTTCAATGCATTTTAATGGGCTTTTTATTTTCGCTTTATGATGTTTTCACTTAACGGCGATTTTCCTGGAACAGATTATCGCCGTTAAGCAAGACACCACTGTACTCCACATGAAGACTAATTCCAAGGTCTGTCCTAAATGGGTCTGATGTACTGATGCCAACATGAATGAATATGTTGTTTCTATTTCTTAGCATCAAAGCTCACCAGAGAATAGTATAGGACATTCTTTTAAAACCCAGTATATTACATCAGCTGGGAGAAAAATGTACCCCAATGGTGAAATATAATAGATTTATTCAGACTACACTAGTTGTACATATATTTTTTTTGCCTGAAAGAAGTATCAATTCTAAAATAATGACTCGATGGTGCTAAAATGTTCTATCTGCCTGAATGAGGGTTAAATGCAACTCCTGCATTACAAGTGAAAAGCCATTGAACAGATGGGGGTACTTACTGGTTGACCTTTTTCACCTTTAGTTCCTGGAGTTCCAGGTAGACCCTGGTGGGGGAAAATATTTAATAATAGAAAACACTAGATCAGTAAAGAATTGAATCTACAATTCAGTGCTCAGGAAAGCAAAGCCAACCTAATAAGAAACACCAATGGAAAGTAACATTCAGAGCAAAAAATGCTTGAAAATACATCCAGTTTTACAGAACACAAAATTTTCTGGTCCCCCCCCCCACAATGGCTGTCCTCCCTCCACCCAATTCCTATACATTATAATTCCTATGCCTTTCGATTTGTTAAATCTATAGCTCCAATGGTTGGGGGGATTAACATCTAATTAAAGGGCATTAAAATGTTGCAGATGGAGGGAGGTCAAAAAGATGTCAGAACGCAGATTTAGCCATGTAAAAATACATGGCTAAATCTGCATGGAAATCCTCCTTGGTGGTAAGAGGTATGAAAGGTTTTAAGAGAACTCCCAGAACAGTGCGCCTTATGTATCTGTGTGCCCTGATATTCGTGGAATGGTACTCACAGGAAGTCCATTGGGCCCCTTTTCACCGGGAACACCCATGCGAGCAGCGTCACCCTGCAAACAAGCAAGAACAAACGACAGATGAGTTCCTGAAATGATCGGAGGACCTCAATAGTAGTTTTACCTGCTGACTGTTAAGAATTATTGCCAGACCAGTTTTGTTAAAAAAAAAAAAACAACAACAACTCAGCCAGTTTTGCTCTTTGTCGATTTCTACAGATAGTATTCGTGGTTAGAGATGGGCACGGATTGAGCCACGAACCAGAAAAACCAACTCATGGGGCTGGTTCGTGGTTCGTTTCGCGAACCAGTTCAGGGATCCTGTTGTGCCCAAATGAAATGAAGTGTCCAACTTGCTCACCCTTGATACTTAGCTTCATCACCATTGCCATCCTTAGAGGCAGAGGCCCTGGCCTCCTTTTCCAGAGGCCAGGGCCTCTGCCTCTAAGGTTGGCAATGGCAGTGGTGGAGGAGAAGGCCGGAGGACCAGGTAGGGAGGCAACGGCGTCAGTGGATAGGCAAGAGGGGAAGGGCAGGAACAGCTAGTCTCCATCCCCCCCCCCCGGGCATGAACTGGGAAAACAAGTCATGAACTGTGCCTTTTCCCCCGGGGGCTCATGGTGGTGTGTCATTGGCCACAAGCCGCAAAACAGCCCAATTCATTTTTCCCCCCAGTTTATGCCCATCTCTGTGAGCCGTATTTCTCCGTCACCCTATAGCCAGGGTTATCTCCATTCCTCCTGGGATGTGGTCAGAGGCTGAGTGGGGTTCCAATCCAGTGGGCTCCCAGTTCTCTTCCTCCCAGCCCAGTGCCAGACTCCCCCAAGGCCCTGCTTGGCTGCCTTTCAAGTGCACCTATTTTTTGGTGTGGTCTACAAACCTTCTCACCATCGAGTCCATGTGTCCCATCTCTCCCATCTTTTCCAGGCATGCCCTGAAACAAGCGGAGAACGTGATGTTAAACAGGTGGAATCAAGGGTGCAAATAAGCATCTTAGAGCTACCTGCCTGTACACTCCAACATTTATTTTATATGAGCTGTTGAATGAGTCCAGCAGAGAGAGCTTCTCCACAGGCAGAAAATTAGTCCTAGCTTTCCAAAACCTTAGAGTACAGGAGAACCAAGGTATCCTCGGGGGATCAGTTCTAAGCCCCTTACGGATTCCGGAAATTGTGGATATAGTGAACCCTATACAATATATATCATAGTCTCTGGATCCCTCTAGTGACCAGTTCTGGTTATATATCTTGGAAATGAGTATTTGGTCTTTTTTATTTCATATTTTTAGGCAGTGGATAAGTGAAACTGTGGATACTGATACTACAGATACAGGGTTACAGAATTGGAGTGGAGAAAGAACCATGGAAATCTAAAACTTTGGCCAGATGTTTTTAGCTGTAAGGTCTGCAGTTCAGTTCAGTCCCAAGACAGAGACTAGAGCCACCGCACACATATACGTATCCAATCAGCCCTCGCAACGCATATGGTAATGAAAAGGAAATGGGCTGACATTTCTCAAAACCCAAGATTGGCCATAACTCAGAGAGCTGCCTCTTGCATGAGGTGAGATGCAAAGGTTCTTGAATAAACCTATAATTTAATCTTCGGCTTTCCCCCACACCCTGTAAGGACTCTGACGCCTGTCTATGAATCAGCTTTATGTCACATCTATGACACGGGCATGAAAATAGCACCCGTTTCTCTTGATCTCCCTCTCTTAAAGAAGGACTTACAGGTTCTCCGATGGGTCCGGAAATCCCAGGCATTCCTTTTGGTGCAGGCCTACCCTGGAAAAAGAAACGAAGGAGCAACTCAGTGCTATTTATAGCCGCTGAAACACCACCACATAAAACAAAGAGAGGTTTGTTCAAAGTCAATATTGAAGAGCAAGAGAAGAATTTCTCCTCAGAGCACACAGTAAGGATGAACCCTCAAGGTGGTAGCAGAGTTTTAATGGAAAGAGATGCCCCTTTCAGAAAAATAGAGACACTTTCCCCAGCATTTTAGGATACAGGGGCCTCCCTCATACTCACTGTGTCGCCTTTCGGCCCTCGGAAACCTTGTGGCCCTCTGTCTCCACGGGGCCCCTGGAATTATAAAGGGGGAATTATTCGCCCACATAATTAAGATTTTATTCATATCTTCTGATTGTTCATGTACAAACCTACCCCTCTCTTTTTTATATATACAGCGGAACACCGACAATGTGAAGTCAAGGGTCAAAATCGTATTTGCAAGCAAACATATATATCATAAACCTATATTCATTTGAAATATAGAAATGAGGGGAAATTTTGCAGTCTACTTGTTCTTTTATTGTGATGTCAGTATTGTGAACGGTGTGTGTTATCTGCACATCAACATCTTCTGTTTCTTCCTCCTCCCCGATACTTATTTGCAATTTTCTTTGGTTACATGATGGAAGACAATGTGTACTGTGCAAGAATTTCAGAAATATTTTTAGGACGTTTCATTTATTTTTGTTTACGTGAACCGAAATAATTTTCAAAACATTTATTTTGCCCTGCTTTTTAAAGCACAAAGAAAGGTTAGTATGGCATGTAAGGAAAATGCATGTTATTATACAAAGCATGTGACAAATCTGATTTTATCTTTCTGTGTGAATATGAGATAGGGATTATTTATTTGTTCCACTTTAAAGACTAGAACCTATTGGAAATTTCCCCCAAATCAACATGATGTTGCTTTTCGTTTGCTTTGTATGCATGGCTTTTAAAAATGAGTTCTTGTAATGTTTTGTCCCTTAGAACACACCTGGTTTATTTTTTGTACTGCTTTGTACTGAGATCAGCATTTAGTACTATGGTTCTTCCCATATGCAATGATGCCCATAAGTAGGAGGGTCTCAAGTGCCAGCTTTCTGATCCTCTGTTTATGGAAACCAGATTAATTTTTCTTAAAGGACTGATATAATTCATGGAAAAAAGGAAAATGGAGTCCTTTTTATCATACCTTTTTACAGACACCCGGGGGGGGGGGAATTCTCCTCTTTAACAAATTAACTGCTGAATTTGAAATAGTTGCTAGACCTAGATTAGCACGCTATCAACACCCATGGGGGGGGGAGCTCCAGTGCAGTATGGAGTTTACAAATGTGGGGAAGTGGGAGGAATTCAAAACCAAGACCCAGTTGGAGGAATTGCCAGTGGCAGAGGGGAACTGGAGGGAAGGTGGACAAAGAAATAAGAAGCAAGTACTGGAGCAGGCTGGGAATTAAAATGAAAGGAAGCAAAACATGACAGATGACAATTCTGGAAAACACTACGCTCTAGGCTCATTGTCTCTCTGTTCAAAGCAAACAGCCATGTCTAGATGACTATGGTTCCATACAGACATTTAATTTAACCTCAATGGGTAAGGAAAGGAAGTAAGCTAGCTGCCACCTCCTGCCTCGTCATCCTTTTCACAGAGAGTGCCACAGTCTGAAGAGGATAGTGTTCTCTGAGTATTCAGCCTGGCCCTTGGCAGGACCAACTCTGCTTAAAAACACAACAGCCGCCATTTTGAGTGGACGTGGCATTTGCAAAGAGGGCAGCCACCAGCCACAACGAAGATGCTGGTAAAGTGGAAGAGCAGCTGGCACTGCCACAGGGGGGAGCAAGGGAGCATGGATGGAGGAGGGGGCAACAAGGTGAGGCAAGTAAAAGGATGGCCAATCACTCTTGTGTGGAGAATAGTGGCGTTCGCCATTCCTAGCATCCTGGCAGCTGACTGACCCAGCCTGAGCAGTAGGGCTGGCTCTGACGGAAGACGTCTGCCTTGCGATCTGGTACGCTCAGCTGTGTTTTCAGTTTTGAGTTCCTTGAACAGCAAGCAGCCTTCTCTGCAACAGAAGGGCCCAGATTCGGAACTGAGGGAATGCTCAAAAACAGCTACGGATTCTTGCATAGCAAAAAGAAATCAACTGGGAATTCTGTTGGGTGGGGTTAAGTCCATGCACATACCTAAAACCACTTTTTGAATCGGCAGCACTATTTGACTGTCCGTGAAGACCAGCTGCACATGGTATGGCGTCATGTAGAACTACCTATGCAACTCAAACATATTCCACAAGTATTTCCCAACTTTATCATCTCTTGGTCCATTTTCAGACCCAGTTCAACAGTCTTTCATGGCAAAGGTGTAAGGCATTTCACGTGTACCTATGCAGACTATTAATTGGGACGTGGTGGCGCTGTGGGTTAAACTGCAGAAGTCTCTGTGCTGCAAGGTCAGAAGACCAGCCATCATAAGATCGAAGCCACACAACGGAGGGAGCCCCCATCGCTCGTCCCAGCTCCTGCCAACCTAGCCATTCGAAAGCATGAGAATTGATAAATAGATACCACCTCGGTGGGAAGGTCACGGCATTCCGTGTCTAGTTGCACTGCCCACGTGACCACGGAAACTGTCTACGGACAAACGCTGGCTTGGACACGGGGATGAGCACCGCGCCCTACAGTCGGACATGACTGGACTAAATGTCAAGGGGAACCTTTACCTTTACCTATACAGACTATTACAATTTTCCTGAGAGCCCCATCAGTGAAGACTTAATGAGGATGACTACAGATGGAAGGCCTTTTTAAAGAGAAGTAAACTGACTGTTGAATCATCATCATGATGCACCATCAAGCCAGTTTAGGCTTATGGAGACCCAGGGTTTTCTAAGTAGAAAGTACTCAGAAGAAGTTTCCCCTTTCCTTCTTCTGGTGGGACTCTGCAGCTTGTCCGAGGCCACATAGGCTCTGCTTCATAGGAGGCACGGCAGGGAATCGAATTCCCAGCCTCTGGCTCCACAGCCCGAGGAATACTTTCCTTCAAAGTGGCTTGCTGTGCAAATATTTCAGCGAGAACTTTTAACAATTATTTCTTCAGACCTTTTTGCAAACCAGTTTTTAAAAACTGGACTGATACAGAACCTTTCCATTCTGTTGTACGCTGAGAACTTGGTGTTGTTTATTTTTGTAATCTTGGCTGCATCCCAAAGAGCTCCGTCTCCCTGGAAAGGCACTGTTGTTCGGTCTTCTCCTTGCTTTTGACATGGGATTTTAAAAAAGAAATTGGCCAGGCTGAAAATCCTGCCTCAAAAATCAAGGGAACATACCACTTTTCCTGGAGGGCCTGGAATTCCCGGAGGGCCTCGGAACCCTATTGATCCCTGAAAACAAGGAAAGAACGTCATAAATATTTGCTGAGAAAACACAACTATTCTTCATTAGCCACTATTGTTAGGGGGCAAAGAATCTACAGAACAAAGCATTTCTGGTTATTATCTTAGTAATTTTCACAAGATCCCGGTCAGAGAGTCCAATGTTGTTCTATCCATTTTGCAGGCAGGAAGCAGCTAAAGTTTGTCTCGAGTCACCGATTTCTTTTCTTTTCTTTAAAACATGTATAACCCACCCTATATCTCAGGATCTCAGGACAAATTACAGAGCTGTAGAAAACTATTTTAAAACCTACGATAATGGAAACAATTTAAACTCAAGCAATTAAAAATAAAATTCTTCAACGATTGAAACCATTGCGCTAGTTAAGATGGTGTTTAAAACAAAATCTGATCTGGGGACCTTCTCTGGTCATAATCGTATACCTCCAGCACATTGCACGGAAAATTGCCCATTGCCAGTGGGAAGAAAATTCCATGCTTTGTGCAATGAACACATACAGCTCTGAAAAAAGCTCAATAGAAAGAATCTCAGGCTCACCCTTTCTCCGACAGGTCCAACTGGCCCAGTGAGGCCCCTTAATCCACGTGGTCCCTAAGGAAAGAAAAGCAACGCTGGGTGAAGCTTTGGTGAGAGTGGGACAGAAATCGAGAATGTTGAGCAGGGGTTTCTGGGAGCGGTCGTCCGAAAATCAACTACTCCAAGCTCTGAGGCAGTGAACGGAGAAGTGTTCCAAGACTGAAGTTTGAGGTTCTCCTTTCAAGCTGAGGGTAAAGCTGGAGAAATGTGTCACAAACCATTGGCAATTTGTTTTTGTAAAAAAAAAACAACCCGATTTCCTTTTACCTGTGTGCCAACAGGGCCGGGAGGTCCTGCAGGACCAGGAGGGCCTGGTGAACCCTGCAATAAATAAAAAAATAAATAAATCAGCAAGCAAGCAAGCAAGCAAGCAAGCAAGCAAGCAAGCAAGCAAGCAAGCAAGCCAGCCTGTGTTGACACCACTCATGTAAAACAGATGAACAATTATAATTGTTTATATTTTATTCAGAGGGCATCCTTTTTCTTTTGACAAAAGTGCTTCACAATTTCCCTGACACAACTTATGTAAAACAGATGAGTAATTATGATTGTTTATATTTTATTCAGAGGGTGTCCTCCTTTTGACAAAAGTGCTTCACAATTTCCCTTCTCGCGCCATTGTGACTGGAATGGAACTGATGGCTGTCACTACACGATAAAGGAATGGCAATTTAACTCCCCACCCCTCCAGAAAAAGAGGGAGCTGGAAAGGGTCTGTGTGTGTGTGTGTGTGTGCACGCACACATGCGTGTGTATACTTCCTCTTCTCAAAATGGCTTTGTGGGTAGACTTTGCCTTCACATCCCATGTACCAATGGCCTTTTCATCAGATCGGCAGATCTGCTACACAAGCCTCAGCTGCTGACACAGGGTGTGTCAGCTTTTATAGAGGTTGCTTCTGCTGCAGCCTCTTCCTGCCCTCTCTAGAGTCTAAATTTTCGATTTCGAAGGAACCAATGCCACAAAACGGTCTTGCAACTTGGAAAGCCAGCTCCTCGTTTCCCAAGGTTTTATTTCAAGAACACGAGTGGTTCTCCAATACATTCCTTCTCCAATCAAGGCGCAAATCCCTCAAGATGCTGGGTCCCAGCGGGCCTCGTGCCTAGCGTACACATCCGTTCTCCTTCCCCCCCCCCCACGCTGGGAAAACAATCTATTGTTCAAACGAAAGCATTACCTTCTCTCCATCTTTTCCCACTTCTCCAGGCTCCCCTTTGTGTCCGGTGTGCCCCTACAAAGAAAGCCAGAAGAATCAGAATCTCCTTACTGCAATTTTGAACAAAAAAAACAACAGCACCATTTTTCAGAAAAGCAATCTGGATTCCACATGCTTACCGAACAACCTCCCTGTACTTTCAGCACAGCTGTCCATTGTATCCAGAACTTGAAGACTGAAAAACTGGATAAATCCCCCAAAGAGAGTATTCTCTAACTGCCTCTCAGATGTATTAGACTACACCTCCTATCATCCACATCCAAACAGCCATTGGCCATATTAGTTCAGGAAGACTGAAGGGAGGAATATATTTTTATTTGGGTTCTCTATGGATTAGCTTAGTCCAGTCTTCTCCCACTTGAGGTACTGGACTACACTTTCAACCGTTAGCCAACTATTGTGAAAGGAAATCAACAACATACAAGTGGACGTCCATTCACAGCATGGGATCTTCCCCCCCACTTCTCTTCCTCTGCAGCCCATCAAACAGACATTGCAAGGATCGTCTCCAGAGGAGATGTTTGAAGGTGTGAGGTGGGCGTGAGGTGAAATTATCCCAGCTCAAAGCCACTGATCAATCTGGATTCATCAGCGGACAACTGTATTCCCCTCCATTATAAACCCCTCAGATCATTATGTACCTTGAATCCTGGGATTCCTGGGGGTCCTGGTGGGCCGGGAGGACAGACAGATGGGCACTGCATGCAAAACACACAAACAAGCAATGCATTTTAGAGACAGACAAGCAGACAGATATATATGATCAAATATACATACAGTATATTATCCTATAACACCCCCCCCAAATGTTAGTGACTGAAAGTCATATGGGAAAAAATGTTTATTGCACAAATGTGCTCCACAAATGAAGAATGCTATCTGCTCATCACAGTGCATGATTTTCAGTACTTTTGTATCTTGCATTTAGAGTGCTTTGTTTTCTGATTGGACAAGGGAAGGTAAACACAGCCTTCATCTGCAAGTCTGATTGCCGAGGTACCCTGTCTCTGAAGAAGTCTTGTTGTGGGAGGAAAAACTGATCCAGCGGAGGAGATACACATTCCATTTAGCATCGATTTTAACCTTAATATCATTTGACCTTGAATTGTGATTGGACAACCTCAATAGTGACAATATGTAGACTGCTGATTAAAGCTAATCTGGGATTTGGTGCCACCAGGCAATCTAGCTAGTTAGCATGATTTTTTTTTCAAAAGAAAGGTGTGATGCAAGGAAGCAAGTACATTTGTTAAAATGTACATTTTAACAAATCCCAGCGTCCAAATGTAGATGCTAGCAATGCCTTTTGAGTGCTGTTGCTACAGTGGGCCAGTAAGTCTGAAGGGTTCCATCAAGGTAAGGGGGGGGAATCCAGTGGAGGCATCCTCCAAAGCTGGTTCTGGCCCAGCAGAGCAGACAGAGGTCCTATACTGGTAATGATACATTATGTGGAGATGTGGGAGAGAGATTTCTAAGATAAACAATGAAAAGATCTCATGATATAGGACTGGATATAAATAAGTAACCATGTCTCTGGAACGCTAATCTGAGATTAGCTAAAATCAACATACAGTCTGGCAATGAATGTTATATAACAGGAAGGAATGGAGAAAATACAGCAGGAACCCCATATCTGCTGATTCGTTTATCAACGATCTGAAAATATTTTTAAAAATCCTAGAAATATACACACATTTCTAAAGTTATCAGAACTGGGCACTAGAGCAAGCCAGAGACCATGCTGTGTATGGTGTTTGCAATCGAAATAGCATTCGCTATACAGTAATCCGTGTTTTTCAGCATCTGCTGGGAGCGTCTTGGAATTGATTCCGTATTGATACAGGGACCCAATTGTACATATATTTGATGGGAGGAACAGTAAACAAGGGAAGCTGCCTTACACTGAGCTCAGTGTATTGTCTGTACAGATTGCTCACTGCTCTCCAGGGTCGCCGGCAAGGGCCTCTCCCTTTCCTACTGTATCTGGAGATTGAACCTTGGATGTTCACAGGCAACACAGCTGCTCCCTATTGCTCTTCCCATTGCTGAAGGCCCTTAGCAAAATCTGCTAGGTCCACCCGCTGAATCCACCGGGTTTTAGCTAATTTACGCTGCACTTAAGTCTTCTAAAACTCCAGCTAAGGCATCCGGTGCAGAAATGAAACAAAACAGAGCCACACAACACAAGCGCTACCCCCACCCCACCCCCAAGTATTTACGGCATGGATTAAAGCCTCCCTTATCTTTAACTATTCACTTATTATTGGATGGGATTTAGGCAAAGCGTTTCTTGTAGTTGCCCTACAAATCCACAGGGCTAAAACCAAGCCATTTCCCAGTGATGTTTCCCTGTTCGAAACACATCATTTAATGCCTAGAGCAGTGGTTCTTAACCTTGGATACTCAGGTGTTTTTGAACTGCAACTCCCAGAAACCCCAGCCAGCACAGCTGGTGGTGAAGGCTTCTGGGAGTTGCAGTCCAAAAACACCTGAGTAACCCAAGGTTAAGAACTACTGGCCTACAGTAGAATTTTCAATTAACTTCCGTAGGTTATTCTTTCTCAAAATAAAAAAAGAAGAAAGCCCAAAAGAAACACTGTCATTTCCTGTCCAACCTCTGCAAGATGTTGCAATAAGGTGGTACGAGGAAATTATCCCGTTTCTCCTTGAGTAGTCCAATTAGGGAATTAGAAGGAGCTGTCACAACAACAGATGTGAAGTCTTGAAACGCCCGCTCGCTGGCTCTCATTAATGTCATATTTATTTCATTGCGAAAGATCAAGCCTCCCTCCTCCTTCCCGCTCCAAACAGCCTCTTTGCCCTTGGGAGTGAGGTGTTGCTGCCCGCAGAAGGAAACAGGTAAGCAAAACGGTCGTTTTCCTATTTCAAAGCTGAGCTTAGAAGAGAGGTCTTTTTGAAAAAAGACCGACAATGACAAAGTGAGGCACTCGCCTTTCTCACGGCTCCTGCACCAGAAAACTCCAACACACGCTAACCAAAGCGTTAGTAAATGCTTTCTTTTAGGATCCAGCTGTTTTTAACACCAGCACAAATCCTGAGTTGTTCCTGTAGCTGGAAGACCGGTGAAGGATCTGTCTTGAAATCTTTATTTTATTTTATAAACACAGGAAGCAGCCTTAGCATGAATCCACGCAATCCAGTGTTGCCAACTTTGGTAGTGGTGTTTCTGGGGTAAAGATGGGCACAAACCGGTTTGTCCCAGTTCAGAAAGACGGCAGCACAGATGATGCTGCTCCCCTCCCCTGTCTTCCCTGCCTCCTCAGTTGATCAGCCCCTCACCAGGCCCAGCTTGCTTGCTTTCCCCACCTCCTCAGCTAATCTCCCAGTTACGAGCAAGAGCACAGAGTTCTCTGCCCCGCCCTTTTCTCTGATTGGCAGATCAGCCAAGAGGGCGGGGCCAGAGAAGCCTGAGCTGCTGCCGGGACTGGAAGATCAGTTGAGATGATGCTGGAAGCTAGTGCGCTGGGCCTGGTGAGTGGCTGATGCAGTCAGAGGAGGTGCGGGAGGGGAGCAGCAGCCCCTGCACTGCTGCCTGTATGAACAAGGATAAACTGATGTGTGCTCATCTCTATTGCGTTTTTTTTTTTGCTTTGTTTTGTTCCTGGGTGGGGTGGGGTGGGGACCTTTCCTAGCCATCCCTGAGGATTGCTGGCCTTTCCTGGCACTCCCATCAAAGTACTAACCAGACAGAACCCTTCTTAGCTTCTGACATCAGGTAGAATTATCAGTACCATTTATTTAAGATATCTGCACCATGCCCTTTTAGTGTAAAAACACCATTTAATGGGGCTTAGTTGTAGGTATAAAGCCACCAACCAAAATGGCTTTCATTAACATTGAAAACCAAAATATTAATTTTCCCCTAGATGCACAAGTATATCAGGGAGAAGCCAAATATAAAAATGGTCTCATTGATCTGATTATTTAGCACCAACAGTGCATTTTCTTCAATGTGCGCGTGTCCGTATATAGCAGTGCACATTTGGAAGTGGTGAAATTCGGGTGCAATGGACTAGGCTGCAGAACCATCTGTTTTCAGCTCTCACTTTGCTTTGTAACAACTCAAGCAAGAAATTCATGCATGAAAAATAAATGGGTTACCCATAAATTGTTATGGTTTTGAACAACTTTCAAAGTGGCTACTGTAATAATTTTAGCCTTGATGAAGTTAATAGCCTGAGTGATTGAACATTTCATGTCAGTTGAATTTGTTAGTTTCAGAAGAATGGGGCATTTGGGACCATTTTCAGTAATTAACATTTTTTTAAAAAAAACATTCCAAAGTACTATGTCACTAAGGTTTTCTGAGGATTAATGGAATGAAGAGATCATATAATAGCTAGACCTATAAACATTAATAACTGATTTATGATTCAGCATTGGCACATTCACTTTAGCGCTATGCTTTCCACAACCCCATGAGGACGCTGCTAATTTAGAGGCTGTGGAAACAAAATATTTTTGGAATGCAAATTCCAGACTCTCCCATCCTCGGGAAGGAGGGAGACCAGACTAGCGAAGGGGCAGGCAGGAGAGCAAAAGGTGAGCTAGTGAGAGAGGGCATCCAGGTGGGCGAAGGAATGAGTGGTCAGGTGCCAGCTTTTTCAGCAAGCCTGGCATTTTTGTTTTGTTTTTAAAATTCCTACTACAGTGGTGCCTCCCTTGACGATGATAATCCGTTCCAGCAAAATCGCTGTAGAATGAAATCGTTGTCAAGCGAAAGTTAAAAAACCCATTGAAGTGCATTGAAAACTGGTTCAATGCGTTCCAATGGGCAAAATACCTCATAGTGCAGCAAAGATTCTCCATAGGGCAGCCATTTTCTAGTGCCTGTTAAGCGAGGAATCCGTCCTAAACACAGCGGGGAGCCATTTTGAGAGCCGCCGATCAGCTGTTTTAAAATAGTCGTTTCCCGAAGCAGGGAACCGATTGTCATAAAGCGAATTTTCTCCATTTAAACATCGTTTTTCGATTGCAATAGCGATCACAAAAACCTCATCGTAAAGCGGATTCGTCCTGGAGTGGAGTAATAGTCAAGCGGGGCACCACTGTATCTGGTAGCAGGAACTGAAAAAAGTGGATGGGGTGTTCACATAAGCGGAATCGATTCCAATGAACTGATTCCACATCCAACCCAAAATAAACAGACCTCTGGCAGGGAAGCAGAAATGCTCCTTCTCCTGGCACACTGTTCTGCTCATTCACGTACCCTATATTTATGCTAAAATTTAATTATTTTCTTTTTAAAGGAGAACCCAGAACAACAGTGGGATTTTTTATCAGTAGGATTGAGCCCCGCTTGAAGAGAAAGGTCTTTGCTTGCTTGGGGAAGAACAGCAAAGATGGGGCCCGCCTGGCCTCCAGTGGGAGGGAGTTCCAGAGTTTGGGAGCAGCCACAGAGAAGGCCCTCTCCCATGTCCCCACTGCCCCTTTGAGGGTGGTGCGACTGAGACAAATGCTGATGCTCTCAACCCCTGGGCAGGCTCATAAAGGGAGGCACAGTCTTTGAGATAGCTTGTACCCAAGCCCTTTAGGGCTTTATAGGTTAAAAAGAGCACATTAAATTGTGCCCAGAAATGTATTGGCCATCAGTAGTGCTGATGTAACAGAGGGGTTATGTGATCTTTGTAACCAGCCCCAGTTAACTATGTGGCTTAGCTACAGTCCTCTGAGTAGTTGGGAGAGAAACTGATTACTTTGAACAAGAACAGAATAATGCTGCAAGTTGTCCTTATTACACCATTGGTGTCTAGTGGAGGCAAATTTTTAGAAGCTGTATGAGATGGACCATCACCTCCGCAAGAGATAGAACAAATGGCCTTGGCATGTCACTTCGTTTTGATGCTTAGCTCCTTAGCTGTCAGGTGGAAAGAACAATGATCCACTTTCCAAAGTTTTGGGTGGAGTCTCACAACAGACGGCTGGTTTTAAGAAGAGCAACCAGTAAACAATGCATAAGCTACAAACCAGTATCAGCTACAAAGCAAACCTTGGGCTGGCAAACACATGCGAGTTTCACTTACATATACATCACGCTTTACATACTAGAATTTAAACTCTTAATTTGAGTAGGATCATTTTCACATTACATTACAATTGTCAGTTGAGTACAGTAGGAAACAACCCCCCCCCCCGTATCTGCAGTATGCACTGATTCACTAATCTAATGGTCTGAAAATATTAAAACTATTAAAAGAAAAATTCCTGGAAATATAATTTCCAATGAGGATATCACCAGAATTGTCCACCAGAGGGAGCAAGAGACCATGCTACAGTATAGTGTTCTTTATTATACTGTAATAGTGTTAGCTATAAATCCACCATAGATATTGGAGTCCTACAGTACTTCTTAGAGATTTGAGCAACATGCCAGGGTGATAATAGGCAAAAAAGTTTAAAAGAATGCAGAAGGAAGCTGTACCTGAAGGTCACCATTGCCATCAGGGCGAACTCCAGGAATACCCTGCAATCAGGACAAAATTTAAGATTTAAAATTTTGCCACAAATATACACAGTCCATGGACAAATTGGGTATATCTAAATATACAGTGGTGCCTTGCTAGACGATGATAATCCATTCCACTGAAATCGCTGTTTAGCGAAATCATTGTCTAGCGAAAAGCATTTCCCCATTGGAATGCATTGAAACCTGTTTAATGTGTTCCAATGGGGAAGAATCATCGTTGTCTAGTGAAGATCGGCCATAGGAAAGCCGCTTTGTGAACCACTGATCAGCTGTTTAAATAGCTGTCTTGTGAAGCTTAGGTCCTGAAAACACCCGTTTTGCGAGCACAGAGAGAGCTGTCAAAATCGTTGTCTAGCAAAAATTGGTTTGCGAAACAGGGACCAAACATTGTCCAGTGAAATTCCTCCATAGGAATCACAGTTTTGCGAATCGCTATAGCGACTGCAAAAAGTCAATGTCTAGCGAAAAAACTGTCATGCGGGGGTAACTGTCTAGCAAGGCATCACTGTACTTAAGACTATATGGTTCCCCAACAGAGTGTTCTTGCTTAGAGACAAAGAACATTGTCTTAACAGTCCTGAATTCACCCAGTATGGTTGTGTAGACTCACCAGTTGGAAAGAAATGAAAATATATTTCTGCCCAATGCTATTGGTTGAAACCCCATCCCCCACCCTGTAGACTCCACGCAATTTAGACCAAGCTACCAATGAAAACAAGATCTCTACAGAGGAAGATTTGATTTCTTGTATTGTTTTCCCCCCAAAGACAGAACTTCTCACTGGTCAGTTTTGTCTTCTACATTCAAAGTGCAGTAGCATTAACTAAACAACACCGACAGGCACTGAAATGCATTGTGTTTTTCCTCTGCTGTCAGGAAGTAAATAATTGTTTTACTGAAATAATGCTTTTGGAAAAGACATTGTATCCTTGACGGGGAACCTGCTTAAAAGAAAGCAGACGGGCTCCGAGACACTATTTTTAAGCAGTTTTCACTCTCAGTCATTGATGTTTTCTTGACAGCAAACGTTTTGTAGGAAAATTCTGAACTTACTGGTGGTCCTGGAGGACCTGGGGGTCCCGGAAAACCTGGAAGTCCAGATGGTCCCTAAACAGAAAAAGAAAATCCCAGTACAGTCCTCTCCTATTTATATTCGACCATTGAAATAAAATAAAAAGCAAGGGAGTAAAATATTGATACATTTATAGATTCATTTCACAGAAATCTAAAACATCATTTTAAAAAAAGAACATCAGAAAGACCACTTCGTCTAATGGTTGGGTTGGACCTTGCAATAATAGGACAAAGAAATGCCGAAGATCGGAAGTCAATGTTCACGACACAGAATTTAATGTATTTTTCCATGTATAAGACTATACTTTTGTTTAAAATCTTTAGACTAAAAATTGAGGGTTGTCTTATACATGGAAGTAAGCTGAGGAGAGAAAAAAACAAGTGGAGGGGAAAGCAGAGATCACTTGCTAAGCCCCATGTAGATTTCTTAATTTTGGATTAGAAAAGTGGGTGGTGTCTTATACAATGGGGGCGTCTTATACACGAAAAAATACGGTAACTACCAATCACGTTTGTCCTGTCTTTCCCTTCCTTGCCCACCATGGATTATAGCTCAGATTTTGTTTATACCCATTCAATGCCCATCAAGCTCAGAGGGACGGGACGGCCTTAAAGGAAGACCAACCATTGGTATATCTACCCCAGTACTGCTGATACTGACCATCCCTGGAGGAGGTGGCGTTGGGAAGCACCAGACACCGACCAATCACATTTGTCCTGTCTTTCCCTTCCTTGCCCACCATGGATTATAGCTCAGATTTTGTTTATACCCATTCAATGCCCATCAAGCTCAGAGGGACGGGACGGCCTTAAAGGAAGACCAACCATTGGTATATCTACCCCAGTACTGCTGATACTGACCATCCCTGGAGGAGGTGGCGTTGGGAAGCACCAGACACCTGTTTGACCACTAAACAAATTGGCACAAATTACCAAACCGATGATCCGCGGCCATCTCTACCAACCAGCAATGGTGATCCCAGATTTCGGGCAGGTGTCCATACTAGAGATGCGGGGAATAGAAGTGAGGGGCCTCCAGCATGTCAAGCATGTGTTGTACAACATGTGTGGGGGAGCATCCAGCCCTGGGTCTCAATCTGGTCCTCAGTGGTTCGAGAACGGTATAAGCCCCCTTTCTCAGGACATCACAGTTGGCTTCCCAGCCCATGTGTGGGACCTCTTCCCATTCAAAGAGCTCGAAAGTCTCTTCGGAGGGCTTGGAGTAAGAGCTCAGCTATGCTCTTGGTTTTGATCATGTACTTTTGCCTTTGGCTCCAGTGGGCCGCTGGAAAGTCACCCCAAGGACCAAATCCGGGCTTTTGAAGAGCATGTTCCATGTCCTTGTTCTTCAAAAAACCCAGCCACTCGCCAGAAGATACTTGGGGGAAAGATCCCCTTTATCTCTTCACGTTTTTCTCTGGCTAGCAGTAGCTTCAAAGAGCCCATAAAGATCATTCAGGCAGAAAAAGTAGTTTGATATATTCTCTGTGATTTCCCCCCCCCCATCTTTATAGAGATCCAGCTTCTGTATGGGTGAGAGCATCTGTTTCAAACAGCACTACCATCTCTAGCGAAGGACGTGGAAGTGTGAGTCAACTGATTTATTTCTTTGAGATATAAGATATGGGATCCATGGAAAGAAAAGGATACTTACAGGTGGCCCTTGCGATCCTGTTGCACCGGGAAGCCCGCTGGGGCCTGGAGGTCCCTGCCAAGAAGGGAGAACCCATCATCCAAACCATAAAACTATGCAGCTAGGCCACATTTCTATCCCAAATTTATTTCATGGTGATTATTTTAGTTATATGCCCTCCCAGTCACTTCCAACTTATGATGGCCATATGAATTAGTGACCTCTCGAAGGTTCTGTCTTTAAACGGTTAACAGGGTGACATAAGCAAGTAAAATTAAATATTGCGATTGCAAAGACAGAACAAGAAATTAACAATGATTACAGTGCACGGCGACCACTGAAGATATCATTGAGAGGATCAGAATAAGGACCAGGTATAATTTCATCTTGAGAAAAAGAATATAGTTTTACGTCTTCCAGGATCTGAATGGAGATGGCAGGTTTTGACCAAAACTACAGTATATGAGTGAAGCAATAAAAAAAGAGATCATGGCCAGAATCCTATTGGTGATTTATGCTTACACAAGTGAAATCATGAAAGTTGTGATGGCAAATTATTGTTCATCAGTGATGTGCTGGTTGCATTCCCGCCATGCAATGGACATGAGAGCTTGTTGATTTTTTATTTATTTATTTTATTTATTGCATTTATATGCCACCCATCTAGACATAATCTACTCTGGCAGTTCACTGCCATGATGTAACCAACTTCACTTCCCCATGCATAAGAGCATCAATAAGACTCTGGCCTGTATCTCCAATCCATATTACCGTCCCTGCATGTACTTAGTCTTACTTACTGGTGGTCCTGCAAGTCCTTTGCCCTGAAAATTAGATTAAAATGACATTGTTAAAAGCAAGTTAGAAACAAATCATTATTTTAGAATCTGTTCTCTCTGCACGTCCTCTTTCTTTTTTATCCAGATACGTGGACTGTATACAAAGGCCAAGTTGAAAACTATCATGACAGTCCCTTTTATTACTAATTGATTGGCTGATTGAGTCATTATATTTCTACCTCTCATTTCTGTTATGAGGTAGTACTCAAGGCACCTTGGAAATGTCATTTAAAAAGGCTAAATACAAATGGAACAATGAAGCAATTAAAACATCAAGATAACCAAGCACCTTTAATGGATACAATTGCAATCATGCTTCTAATTACGTGTTACTGTATTTTCTAATTTGACCCGAGGTTAACATAAGCCCTATTCAAACATCGCCTAAAACCTCAAGGGCGGAAACCGCACAATGTAGAGATAATCTCAGGAGATCCAGGACCAATTTGGTTCTTGAGGACCTGCCGCTGTAAGCCTAAACTTGAAAAGAGCTAGCCAAGGTGCTGAAACCCATCCTCAAAATGGTTCCAGCATCTTGAGTACCTTTTTTTTAAAGTTCAGACTAAAACCCAGACCAGATTCACCACACTACAGATATTAGAGCCATTTGCCTTCATCAGGTGAGGAGTCTGCAAAGAATTCTAGTTGACACAATGCTGCACAGTAATATACATGCATGATCCAGTCTATCATTACATGTGAGATAAATAGAATTGTAGATTAACTCACTGCTGGTCCAACTGGCCCAGGAGGTCCTATTGCACCCTGTTGGAGAGAAACATCCGAATTAGCACAACACTGAATTGTCAGCCATTCTACTAACAAGGGAACTTATACAAAACTTTGACTCCCTCTCTCTTCTATCCTTTCATAAATGTTTATCCTAGTCTGGATAAGGACGAAGAGGGAATGCATTCCAGTTGCACCGAGGTAAGGCTCCATATCTTGCTACACTGTGTTGGCCGTTTCACTGTTGAGTAGCCTTGGCATTTATGATCAAGTTTTGTGGTTATTCTGTGCCATCAGGTTGGAACCATTTATATTGACCTTATTAGGGCTTTTGATTCCCAGTGTGGTGTAGTAGATAGAGTGATGGACTAGGACCCTAGAGAACAGCGTTCAAATCCCTGCTCAGCCATGAGTTGTGACTGATTTAACACAGAGAACACGTACAATAGGGCTTTCAAGGTAAGTAAGATATTTATGGAGTGGTTTTACCAGTTCTACTCCCAGTCAGCTTCCATGCCCAAGTGGGGATTTGAACCCTGTTCTTTAGTGTTCTAATCCACCACTCTATCCACTACATCAAACCGAGGGTCCAGTTTTATTTGCACAAATGAATGGGACACAGAAGGAGGCATGTCCGCTTGCATGTTGGAATGCAATGCATGCCCTCTGGCAAGAAGGGCTAGGCAAAGTGTTAGACTGCAATCCGTATTCCCCTTAGCTGCCACTAGAGCCAAGAGTAAGGAATGTGGGCAGATGTAGTCTACTGCAGCATTGTGGCTATGCATGCCTCCCCTTCCAGGGAAACTAGTTCTGTATGGATAGTTCTACCTGTGGATACCAACATTGTCCATCTCCACTAAGGACTATTCTCAATTAATTCATTTACATCAGAAATCTAAAAACTTGTTTAGACTGAATAGATGAGTCAGGTTTAAGCCAGAGATGAAAACCAACTCTGCTGTATCTTGTGCATGTTTATAACCACCTTGTCCTGCACCCTAAAGTGCATAAGATTTCCCATGCCATGCCATGTTTACCAGCTACCTCTGTTAATGATGGCATAGATGTCACTGGTTTCCCCTCCTTTGACCTTGATCAAATTGCCAAATCTGGGTTCTGTACCCATGCTCTTAAATTGGACTCTGAACTTAAACACCAGTCAGAGTCCATAAGACTTTGCTTAATTAAAGCCTTTAAAGGCAGGAGAGAGCCAGATGTGTCCATTCTAATTCTTGTGTTGTGCCCACAAAGGTGCCAGGGACTGGAATGGCAGGCGGGTGGTAAGACAGATCAGCTGACCAAAGCTCTGGAAACGCAGATGGCATGAAAATGAAGAAAAGAAAAAGAAAAAATTGGACCAAGTTCCCTTGAGAATGGTGGATTCGGTGCCATCCCTGCTGGACTCAACAAGGCAGCTTTGCAAATAAGGCTGGTCAGAGTAGGGATTTGCATTTACAAATTGTGTAAATGCACTGGCCTTGAGGGACAGAGTAATAGCTACGGTAAGTGGCTTTGCAGGTGGAAATCAACAGACACAAGAGAAAACAAATACACTTCAAAACAAATACCCTTCCCAACATTCCTATTATTTTAGCTAATGTGGGAATGTATGCATTTTTAAAAATTATTGTAAGCTCCTAGGGAGTAGGAGCTTCTCTTCTCCGTCTCTGTAAAGTCCAGCATGTAAACAGATCCACAATGAATTGAGCCCTGCTTTGGTCATAAAATCAATGGGAAGAAGAGATGATGAAAGATCAAACTACACATTATATGAAATGTGTAGCATTCAGTTACGTAGGGCTAGTTTTTACTTCAGAGTAAATACACATGATCCTGACTGGAACACATAGAGCCTATATCCACGATTGGGGTAGGCTTAAACCCTCTCTTATCTGTTTTGAATCTAAAAATTCCCCTCACCAGAATGTGTGGGGCTTTTGGAAAGGAAAAATATCCATTACCACCAATGGTAAGGTTCCCCCCCCTGCTTCATTTTATGGCCTGTGTATGTGTGGGATTTTAGAACAAAAACAAAATGGGCCAAGGGTTATTAAAAGGTTTAAAGATATCCAATCTGTGTGCCTAGATCCTTATCTGGATCAAGACCATGTGCTTTTAATCCAGAGCAGAATGAAATGGATCTTATTATCATGTGATATTTAAACCATGGTGAGCTTTGACCCTAAAAATATGTTCCTTTTAATTGTCTGGGTCTTGGCAATGGGCCTGTTAGTAGAGAAGGTCTGTAAGGATGGTGGGTACCCTTCTTCTCCCCCAATGCAAAAACATACAATTACATTCTCAATTAATAAAATTAAGCAGGTGTGCGCTTCTTCCCAGAACTTTGAAGGAACCACCTTTCCAATAGAGGTTAAATATCCTTGGCTGTGTGAACACACCATGGAATGATATTTTCCAGAAATACAGTGTGAGATTCTTGCTTCTGTGCTTACTACAGTCCCATTTCTGGAGCATGGAGACTCTTTAAAACATCATATGACGAGCATAGTGTGGGCAAGTGGTATTACTTTTAGACTACAACGCCCAGAATCCTCAACCAGCATGACCTTTGTTGACTGGGGGATTCTGAGTGTTGTAGTCCAAGAACATAACAATTCCTGGCTGTGACAATAAGGCCAAAAGCTATCGGTTGGGGTGAAGTGGAGTGATCCTATCTTGTCAACCAGAAGTATTGACTCACTCACTGTGAGCTCCTTCACTGGCAGAACAGTAAATTACAAGTTCTCTCACTGGATTTTATCCTATGGTTGACCAAATACACCTTTCCAAACAACCTATCTGTTGCCTCTCCAGGTTACAGCTTTAAAATCCTTTAAGTACAGCTTCTGAGGGTGTTCTGTTGCTACCTTGGGGAAAATGTGTTACATTATTTTAAGAATTTAGAAACACAGAGCAGTTTTTACATTCTAGGAAGCATCCGATTCTCTGTTGTTTTATCTGGCATTTAAAAGAAAGGCCCTTGGCATTCTGCATACCAAACCAGATTAAAAATGTTTTTTGGGTTTCATTAAATTTTCAAAGCAGTCCTTTAATCAGATGAACAGATTCGGAGAGCTTGGAAGCATAATTAATCCCTCACTCCTTAAGATCAGGCCATAATCCTATAAAGATCAACTTTATTTTATAAATGAAATCTCATAATTAAGAAGCCCCCCCCCCCAGTCTACTTCCTCATGTATCCGATGTATTTACCACTCTGTCTGGTTAGGAAATAATTATTCTTCACCTTCGTAATGTGGGAAGAAATGAGCATTTCAGGAAGACAGCTGGCAATCTGAGTAAGGTCAGCCCTAGAATTCTCAAAGAACTGAGTTAAATAATCTGTAGAAGATGAATTAATGACGAGTTCTCCTCCTCTATTAAAATGCTATGTTAAGGAAATCTGCAGCGGACAGCTTATAGACAAAGGGCGGTGGCTGACACCCCTCCCCAAATTTCAGGAAATAACTCCCCCATCCCTGTCATGAGCTAAGTGGGTGGAACTCCAAGACTCAGTGGAAACCAGTAAGGCTGAACCCTATGAATTCACAGTTTCTAAAGCTATGTTCCACATGCACTCAGTGAAATACAAATATACCATGCATTCCTACATATGCATTGTAATTTCTAAATATGTAAAGAGTGCCACATCCACATTTCTAGTCATTATATCCAACTTCCTTTTGCCTTGTCACTTGACTATTTAGGAAATCATATCTTTAAAGTATTTTGGGACGCAGTGGCGCTGCGGGTTAAACCGCAGAAGTTATTTTGGGACGCGATGGCGCTGCGGGTTCAGCTGCAGAAGCCTCTGTGCTGCAAGGTCAGAAGACCAGCAGTTGTAAGATCGAATCCATGTGACGGAGTGAGCTCCCGTCGCTCCCATCCCTAGCGGTTCGGAAGCATGCAAACTGCAAGTAGATAAATAGGGACCACCTCGGTGGGAAGGTAAACGGCGTTCCGTTTCTAGTTGCGCTGGCCGTGTGACCATGGAAGATTGTCTTTGGACAAACGCTAGCTCTATGGCTTGGAAGTGGAGATGAGCACCGCCCCCTAGAGTCAGACACGACTGGACAGATTGTCAAGGGGAACCTTTATCTTTACCTTTACCTCTTCAAACTAACATAGGAATAGACTTGTTTTCGTTAAGGATCTTCACTCATTTCGTCTCTTCCTCTTTGACTATAACCTACCTTTGGCTCTCCCTAAGTGTGCATATATTTGCTCTTTCACACAGACCCTTATAACACCCTCCACATAACCGGCCCACAAGTATGTAACTCAGGACTACTCAGTTTAAATACAATATGAAAGCTTTTGTTAAACTCTCTCTCTCTCTCTCTCCATTTAAAGAGGAGAGATCTGGATTCCAACCTGTCCTGGCCACTAGTGGGAAGATTTGGGTATTGTTACTTTACAGAAAATGGTAGTAATTGCAGGAATGTCATATTGGGTTTCTCTGGAGGAACCTTAGCTCTCTTTAGGCCCTAGTTCTCATTGCAATGGCAAATGCAGAAATTAACTGTTTCAGTTCAGGTAGGAGTGTACATGGCTGTCTATTCCATTATTAAAAGGAAAAAAAAAAACCTCAAACTGCTTAGCTATAAAATGCGTGTCAGCAGAAATGATTGCAACCCAGATTTCTCCTTAAACCTAAAGCTTCTTATGGGTAAGAAATGTTTTTCCATGGGACAGTGTTTGATTTTGTAAGAGCAGTCTGAAGTGGCATTGCCTAAGTTGGAAGTGATACGAGTACGGGCTGGCATAGAAAGAACTTGGACTGGCCCACCTCAGCTTCTAGGAAAAGGTCTCACGGGCTAAACCCAGAACTTAGAAAAGTTTTTTTTTTTGTTTTCGTTAAGGATCTTCACTCATTTCGTCTCTTCCTCTTTGACTGTAACCTACCTTTGGCTCTCCCTAAGTGTGCATATATTTGCTCCTTCACACAGACCCTTATAACACCCTCCACATAACCGGCCCACAAGTATGTAACTCAGGACTGCTCAGTTTAAATACAATATGAAATTTTGTTAAACACACACACACTCTCTCTCTCTCTCTCTCCATTTAAAGAGGAGAGATCTGGATTCCAACCTGTCCTGGCCACTAGTGGGAAGATTTGGGTATTGTTACTTTACAGAAAATGGTAGTAATTGCAGGAATGTCATATTGGGTTTCTCTGGAGGAACCTTAGCTCTCTTTAGGCCCTAGTTCTCATTGCAATGGCAAATGCAGAAATTAACTGTTTCAGTTCAGGTAGGAGTGTACATGGCTGTCTATTCCATTATTAAAAGGAAAAAAAAAAACCTCAAACTGCTTAGCTATAAAATGCGTGTCAGCAGAAATGATTGCAACCCAGATTTCTCCTTAACCCTAAAGCTTCTTATGGGTAAGAAATGTTTTTCCATGGGACAGTGTTTGATTTTGTAAGAGCAGTCTGAAGTGGCATTGCCTAAGTTGGAAGTGATACGAGTACGGGCTGGCATAGAAAGAACTTGGACTGGCCCACCTCAGCTTCTAGGAAAAGGTCTCACGGGCTAAACCCAGAACTTAGAAAAGTTTTTTTTTTAAATAGTAGAACTCCTAAGGTTTTCAACCATTCAGGCTGGCTGGAGAATTCTGGGAGATGTAATCTGAACACTCTTATCCTCCCTTTTGCAAACTCTAAAGTTACACCCCTTTTTTTCCAGCCTGGCTGTAATGCAGTGTCTCCTGGTGGTTAATTTTACTTCAGTTAATGAGCATTTTGCCACTGATGGCATTTTCACTTCTTCCTTTTGAACAGCACCTCCATTCCTGCCCAGTTTTAAACTTCTGCTACTTACCCTGTCTCCTCGGGGGCCATTCGGCCCAGGCGGGCCATCAGCTCCTGTTAAGCCCTGAGAAACAGAAGACAAGATCATGAAACTAACAGGATTTTTTAAAAAAACGCCTAAATATAAGAATCAGAGCCCAGAACAGTGGTTTTTAACCTTGGGCCCCCAGATGTTCTTGGACTACAACTCCCAGAAGCCCTCACCACTAGCTGTGATGGCCAGGATTTCTGGGAGTTGTAGTCTAAGAACATCTGGGGACCCAAGGGTAGGAACCATTGACTTAGAAGAACTTCTTTAAAACAGCTTAATATAACACTCCTCTATGTTTTTAAGAAGCTTCCTCTCAAGGGTTCAAACAAGGAGTCCCATGGACTTTGTCCTGATGTCTCCTCCTAATGGTAAGCTAGTCCAAGTTACAGAAAAGAAGAAAGAAGAAGCCATAACGGCCTCCCAGAAACTGGCACAGCTCCAACCATCCATGCATGTCATTGATCCACCTGATCCGAGTATAAATGCACCCGAGCTTTATCTTCATGAGCTCCCAGCTCTGTCTTTATTTTTTGTGTAGCTGCACAGTTCTGTTCTGTGTACTTCTTCCTCTTAGCCTCCTCCTCCTCCTTTCTGTATTTCCCTGAATGCTGGCCCATGTTTCAGCCTCCCAGATCTCTCATTTACTTCTCCTTCATGCTAACACTCTTGAGAACCAGTCCAGAGGGTAGACAGATGGGGACAACAGATGGAGAGGTAGCTAGGTTGGCCTAGGCGGCTTCCTCCACTTTGCAGGAGCTGTCCAATGTGCTGAACCATATGTTCAGTATAGGTTCAGCATTTTCAATCATTCCTGTAAAGAACACACTAAAACGTGGAGTGGATTTAAACCACCCCTGGAATTGGAGTCCACAACCACCGGTGATTTAAGATGGGAATGCAGCGTGAATCTATCAAGAAAGCACCATGGAACATATTCCCACAAGTGGGGGCGGAAGAGAGAAGACAGAAAGGTTTTATACTTACATCCACTCCTGGAAGTCCAGGTAATCCTGGATCTCCAGGTTTCCCACGCTTCCCTGGTGCTCCTTTCGGGCCCTAAACCAGAGTAATAGGCAGGCACTGTTAATATAACAATGGCAGAGATATAACATGAGGATGCATGAATACAGCATGAACATTTTCTTCTGGCCTTGGATCAACAGCCTACAATACAGAAGTGTTTGGAATAAATTCATTTATACCTAAACATTTAATAATATTAAATGACATTATACACTCAGGCAACAGAAACACTCAAGTTATAAATGACACTAAGCTGGAGCTTGAAAATATTACTTTTTTTGTACTACAACTCCCAGAATCCCTGAGCTAGCATGGCGAGGTATTCTTGGAGTTGCTTTCCAAAAAATATATAATAATACCTCTTCTATGTTTTGGTAATAGTATGCAAGCCCATTTTCTTTAAACCCCAGGCCCAAGGACACTATTTCATTTACTTTGATTTACTGTGGATTCAAATATTCAGGAAATATGTGGTGGCCACTTAAATGCTTACCATATGCCACTAATGCATTCCCCTGTAGGCTGCACCTCTTTGCTAAACTATGGGCACAGGATAGTTCCCTGCTGTTGGCTTCTGTTTGCAAACATTCTGCTCTAACCATGCAACACACTGAGAGGTTCCTTCTTGAGGTCTGTTTGCCCTTTGCCAGAAACTGTCGTCCTGATCTGTCCTACTCCAGACCACCAGGGACCTTCATCTAGGCTAGTGTTCCCCAAACATGGTACTTTCCAAATGTGTTGGACTAAAATCCCCTTCATCCCCAGACAGCACAGCCACTGGCTCTTTGGGCTGGTGTTGATGTGAGCTGTAGCCCAATATACCAGGGCACAGACTGGGGACATCCGAGCTAAGACTTTCCAGAATCCTTGGCATTCTGGATCTCTCTCTTCCTTAGAGGTGGGAGATGTCTCTCCAGATATTGTTGGAGTTGCAATGGGATGGGAGATGAAGCCCAATGAACTCTGGAAAGAGCACATTAACAAGCCCCAATATTGGTGGCATAGAAGAGTAAGAAATGGCTGATCTCTCCACAGCTTTGTGTTCCGTTCCTTTGTTCATTCCTCACTGGTTTATGAGCTTGAGGCTTCCAATTCTTCTCTTATGTCCTTCTCTCTAAAAACATATGTATACTGCAAAGTATCTCTCCTTCACCAGAAATTTGTTCCTCAGCTTTTTTTTGTCTCCTCTTTCTTAGCGTAGTGGTACGTTTGGAAATACAAGACCCCATCAAAACATTTCTCAGAGCCACCCTCCTATATAAGGAGACCCCCCCCCAAAAAAAGTAGACAGCAGGATCATTTCATATCAAAAACTGAGGTGTTATCTTTTGTAAAGGTAATGGCTTTTAACTCCCTATTCAAGACTACTCTGCCGTCAAACACCTTGCATTACAATGAAGACGAAATGCAGCAACATTCCTCTCCCAGGTCCTGTAAAGATTGTGGGTAAGCTCCGAGGGAAGAAGGAAGCCTGAGGAGAATGAAGTCATATCCCAACCATGTTCCAAACATTTTAAGTGCTTTGACCTTATAAGTCCTGGTTCGACATCTCTGCTCCCAACTTCATTCTTGTTTGCCTTACCTGATGGTACTTCTGTTTGTTCCTTGTCCCATTCCCCCCTAGACAGCATGAATGAAATAGGTACTTACTGCTGGGCCAGGTAAACCAGGTGGGCCAGGCTCCCCCTAAATATATAATAAAAGACAGTGAAGACCATGATACAACAGCAATATTATAAAATCCTTCAACATGCTAAAATGATTCATGGACGTCCACCATCCCCTAGGTCAAACCCAATCCATAATCACTGTGTTTCCAGAAGCTGGTTATAGATGTAAGTTTTAAATGGATGCCAAAATGAGGCTAACATTGGTCTCATTTGGCTTCCCGGCCCTGTCCTATTTCTCTACATAACATATTGGTCTCAGTTTTGGGACACGGGAGCTGAGCTTTCCAGCAAGATTAGGCAGGTATATGTAGGAATAGGTGTTCCCTCAAATATGAAGTTGTCAGGCTGCATAGGGCTGTAAACGTCACCACCAGCACCTTGAGCATGAATCAGAAGAGGACTGCACATCATTTCAAACTAGAATAATGTAGTTTCTGCGTGCTATCCCAGTCAGCTATGTAGTTGCTTCCATTTGAGCCAGCTGCAATTCCGTGTTACCCATGAGCAGTTACCCATGCACACACCATTCACTACTTATTTCTCATAAATTCAAGTGGTTTCTTATAAACTCAGTAGTAGAGGCAAGAGGTAGGAGGTTTCTGCCTTGAACTTCTGCTACAGCATAGTTTGCTTATATTCCTAAAGAAAAACAACAATCATTTAAAAATGGAAGTAAACATGTGTGTCAGTGTGTGTTATAAAGCAGAATACAACATAGAAACGGAGGCGTACAATGACATGGGGGTCATTGGATTTGAATGACAGAAATTTCATGACTAAATCTAGATCTCCCTATGACAGAATACATGCCCCCATTTCCAAGAAAGAATCAACTATGGCCGAGTTCCAGAATTTTCTAATTCTTGGGAACAGTCCTGGTTTCATTATTAAATCAATAAATGGCTCAAAGTCGGATCTTGACCAGTGTCTGATAATTGATAGCCATTAAAAACTTCCAGTAATATTTTTTAAAAAAATGTTTAATTATTCTCTTGAGATCTATATTCAATTCTGATAAAATAGCAATATTTTTAAATTTTTAAGAAAGTAGACTTAGAAGAAACAATCGCAGACACATTATAATCTCCGAAGTTCGTTAAATTTGTCCCCATCTGATTGACAGTATAGCACTTCTATTCATAGCAGTGAAGCAATTACCTTGTTAAGTCATGTCAAGTGCACCTGATTTTCTTTTCTTTTTCTTTTTTTTTAAAGCATGGGTTGTCCAAAACTTTCTGGGATTGGCACTAAGTTATAAAGTACGTCTACTTTTAGTGGGAAATGTGAAACGAAAATTTGATTGGAAGAATTCATTCTGGGTCTCAGCCTTTTTAAAAAATTACTTTTGGGGGACACACACTTCTCGGAATACCCTAGCCAGCGGATTGTGGGGATTGTGGAAGTTGTAGTCCACCAAAGGCAACAATATTACCAGATTTTGCAGGGGTTCTAGCTTGCTGATTTTCTTAAGTAATGGGAGCGTTTGTGGTATTGTCTAATCTGCTTCTTTATTTTTCCATCTTTGGCTTGGAGTTTCAAAGTACCTCTTGGCTTTTGCAGTTGTATGGTTTCCAGCACCGTTGAGAAAGGTACAGTAAAAAGGAAAAAAAAGGGTGGGTGGGTAACATTATTATTTAGGTATGAGTGACTATTGTATCTTGTTTACTTCCAAATACTATTTTAAGGACTTTTAAAAAGGGCGTTTCCACAGGAATGTTTCCGGTTTTATGCTATTCTTGTATTAATCCTAGCTGGCAAGGGAAACATTCAGTTCTGTTTTGGGTTTTAGTAATGGCTTGCAAGATGCAGCATCAAAACTGGTCACTAGAGGGAAGCCAAGAGTATTTAATTACAGTTGTTGTCCTGGTTAATGGGAACTACATATTTGTAGACAACACGCAGTAACCCCTTTATTGTGGGTTATTTTCAAAGAGTACAGAACCACCTGTTTTACACATCCTGTTTTAATGTGATTCCTGCTCCTACTGACAGCACCAGGGTAGGGGCAGCGGAGTCCTCGTCTGCTTGACGTGCGACAAAACCATAGGCCCTGGAGCTGCCCTACTGGCAAGAGCAAAGGTCACCAGCCTGGTAGCTAGGAAAGTGTCCCAGGCACTAGCCAGCGAGCGATACCATTCTTGCCTGGGGGAACCGTTCCAGCAGCATATCAAGCTTCCCAGCCCTGGCAAGCTAGCAATCGAAGCCCTGATGCAATTTTTAAAAATGGACATTGATGTCATTTAAAAACTGCACGGGGCCCTGCATTGTGTGCACCAACAAAACTCACAGTATATTTCCCTTTGGGTTTTCCCAAACATGTAGTTACAGCCATTCTGAGCAAGGACCATAAAATGTGTGAGTACTTATGTAATCAAAGCAAAAATAATGGCAACCGAGTAATAATAAGTACTATAATAAATCCCTTTTAAAATGCAAATTCTGAGCTCAGACTCTAATCTCCAATCACTGTCCTCAGTTTCCAGCCCCTGAATCCAGCCTAGAGCCAGGTGCTACCCCAGCAAAAATTCAGAGCTGTTGGGGGACATGTCTCCTCTAGTGTAGCGGCCCCACTGGATCCTAACCTTGTAATGTCCCACAATTTTAATGTGCTCCCAGTGTTAATGACCTCCAGTGTTGGTGGCTTGAGGGGAAAAAAAGTCCCACAATTTTAATGTGCTCCCTCCTGTCTTGAACAGCTGGAGAGCTCAATGGTTTAGGTCTGTGGGTGCAGAGCCAAAAGTTAGGAGTTCAATTCCACACGGTGCCTTCCCGACCGGGGCTGGACTTGATGATCCCCAGGGTCCCTTCCAGTTGTGCAGTTTTAAGATCTGAGATTAATATCGAAAAGCGGAAGGCTGCCATTTTCAGTCACAGGCACACACACCCTGTAGGTTCTCCATTCTGCCTACGTCTAATGATTTCAAATTGTCATTTTCACGATAAAGTATGCTCGCTAGTTTTGTTAAGTGCGTTTAACCATCTCTTGCACTAAATTGCGCATATACTTAGAGGAAGAATTGTTATAACACAACCAGGCATGCCTCTGTTAATTCAGACAAAAGTATCCCAGTGCAAAATGTAACCAACTTGCTGGGACTAATTCTCTCCCGGGTGGTTTTCGCCATTTTTTAAAGAAAACGTGCATGAAAAGTAGATGAAACAGGATAGACATTGTTTTACGATTCTACAACCCACAGTGCCATAAAATGCTTGCTGTTTAGATCTAGCTCTTTGTGAAACCTGCCATAAGCCTGAGAGACTTCAAAATCTTGTCCCAAAGGTTAACAAGGTGCTCCCTTGAAAATCCATCCCGTAACGTAATTATTAACAAATATCCAAGGCTGATTTTTAAAGAACTGTTTATCTCAGTGTTTGGACCAGTCCAGCAGAAGCCGGCACCCATTTTCCTGCAATGAAAGTTGCCTTGATCAGAAGGTGTCTTTGAAATGACCTCCAGTGTTAGTGGCTTGAGGAAAAGTTTGGTAAGTTTCTCCCCCAAAGGATAAATGAAAGACCACGTTCTATACGATAATGTACAAGACCTTCCAAAAAAAACCCCACCAGCTGTTCTATTTGCTCTGTTGGTCTCCCCGACCACAGCTCCACCCCTTCCTTCTTCCAGCAGGGTATGGCCCTGGGCTGCTCAGTACTTACATCAATGCCATCCTTGCCAGGCGTTCCTGGGGGTCCCCGTGGTCCGGGAGGGCCGCGTGGCCCCGGTCTCTGTGAAGCGAAGAGGAAAAAGGTTCAACTTGCATCTGATAAAACACATGGAAATCCATGCAATGATTCATCGGCAAAAGTCTGGATGTTACCGGGACAAGGGGGGTGGGATTTCAGATCCCCCGTGTGGGGCAGCTGCCGAGGGGATTTTAGATCTTCTAGCCAATAGCTCAAAGGACACCGATCTAGAATTTGGAAAAGTTACTTTTGGGGCTACAAGTCACTGCAACTTTTCCAAGATGAGCTCAGATTTTAAGGGAAGCTTATAGGACATCCCTTTTGTCCTTTTGGAGAACACGTTTTGGAAGCCGACCTTATGCTTGAAAACAAGCTCTTCCACCAAAAATCCAGACCCTGCCTTATCCCCTCCTTTAGTCATTCATGGGGAAAAAAAATTCCTATATAGCCACCCAACCTGCTAGAACTCATGAGATATTGATTTGCCCTTCTTCCTGGTTCTGAATAGATTGTATGGACTATTTTTCCCCATCTTAATCGCAACAGTAGATATAAGTCCTTCTCCTGGTTTACTGTAGTGGAGAGAACATCGGACTAGAACTCCGGAGACATGGGTTTGAATCCCTGTTTATTCATGGAAACGTGCCGGATGGTGAAAATGGCAAAACCACTCCTCCTATCTCACAAACTGGGGAAAACCTCTTAGAGTTGCCATAAGTCATCATCAACTTGATAGCACACACCGCCTTCTGAGATATGTAGTTGTTTACTCTGGAAAACCTAAGAGAGTTGTTTGCGTCTGAATTGGAACCCAGGTCTGTTTCATGAAGCTCATGATTTCCATTTCTCATGTGAACACTACCATGGTCTTTCTATTTTTAAAGTCTCAGACCTACGCTTCACCAGCTTTGAAGCCTGTCCTTTCTCCCACACTTCAACTAATAGGTCAATGGGCTCCTTGCTTTGTAGAAAAGAACGGAGTTTGCAATGCAGAAAAAAAAATTCAGTATGCATGAATCCAAAATGTCCTATTTACACATTTAAACTGTCTCTGGATCTTACAGTTTTACAGACTTCAATAACTATCTTCTAATGATATATTGGGTGGGTAGCGGGGAAACACATCTAAAGCTACCATAATGAGTAGCTTGTCTTAGAAGCAAAAACAAGTCTTTCATTTCCAGTGAGTTGCAATGAATTTTGCACAGCTAAAGTCATGCTCTGAATGCACACTGTGTTTGATTTTTCTGCTTTACGGTGGTGGGGAGAAACTCTGTAAATGTTTTTCTGTGCGGAAAAAGCAAGCCCCCAGAGAGCTATGGCCTGCCTGTGAGCAACAACGGTTTCATTGTACCTTCAAGTTTGCTCATGGCTGAGAAGGAGCAACTCCAGATTCCTAAACCTGGCTGCAGGAAAACTTTTACAAAGAAAAGGATCCCTATAATGTCTCCATCATTAGCAACCCTTGTAGGGTGCAGTATTGCAATAATACTGTTGGGTGAGGGTCTCAATGAAAAGCTACATTCCTCTTGAACTTGAATTTAAAGTGGAAGGATGGATGGGAAGTGGAGGGGGGGGGAGAACACACATCACCGGAGAAGCTGAGAAGTCAGAACACTGGAGTTTTTGTTCACTGTGAAACGTAACGCTTCCAGATTAAACAAAAACGGTTTCTCTCCAGGCACCTTTTCCCCTACTGAGTCCTCCTCCATTTTTTTTTCCAAAGAAGAAGAAGAAGAAGAAAATCAGTTGATGAGTTGTGAAAATCTTAAATTTAACGCAACTCCTGTGCAATACGGCTCATTAATTAAGTACCTTTTTTTGTTATTTGATGTGAACCGCCCAGAGCAGCCTTGGCTGCCAGATGGGTGGTATATAAATCAAATAAATAAATAAATAAAATAAATAAATAAATAAATAAATAAATAAATAAATAAATAAATAAATAAATAAATAAATAAATACCTCCTACTCATACATCAGTATAAAACAAACACAAATAAAAACAGAGCAAAGTACTCCTGATCTGCCTCTACAGTCAAAATCACTAGAGATAAGAGTGTGCTGCCCATTTACAGGTTCTGAAAGAAAACACTCTTGTTCTTCAGCTGATCTGTGTTTGTCCGATGATGAATACCACAAATTAATTCATTTTTAAGAATCTGGTCTTATCCAGCAGTGTTTCCCAGACTTTCCTAGAAGCAAATCTCACTGGTTTTGATCAGCCTTGTTCATTGCCTTGCGGTCTTGTGTACCAAGAGCGATAGTTCTCAGAGAGAGAGAGAGAGAGAGAGAGAGAGAGAGAGAGAGAGAGAGAGAGAGAGAAAACTGTGGATGTTCATTCCAGAAGATGGTGCTGATGTCCATGTCCAGAGTGCCATAGCCGGCCCAGCTTTACCTCACTGAAAGGCCAAAATCCTTACCTGAGCTGAGGAGGAGGCCAAAAGTTGCAAGAGAAAAAGTAATCCAAGGACTGACAATCCAACCATCCCGGTCACCTTTGACTTCTCAGCTCAGAAAGAAACAGGCAACGTCTCCTGTCCTGCTTTCTCTAGGTTCCAGAGATGGTGTTCTCCTCCGGCTTTTGGATTTTCCACTCCTGAATGTGTCCCTTCCACTTCAAGAGACTTCTTGGCTAGAAAGGGAGAGACGCACCAGCTTACAAAGCACACAGTCAGATGGAGAAAGAGAGCAGGTTACTGGGGGAAAAAAAGAGATGGGGGGAGGAGGGCAGGGAGGAAGAGGGCTGGACAGGCTGTAGAGCGACTGGAGTCAATGCAAATAGGCGTACCTTTGTAGCTGAAGAATTTTTAGTCTGCTGTGTGTTCCGGCCAGAGGGTGGTGGGAGGGAGGAAAGAACCAGGCGCAAGGGAGAAATAAGGCCTGCTTTGGCTTCACAGATCTCTGTTGGCATAAGATGGTGTCCCTCCAGGCAAACAGCCCTGATCCTGGATCTACACTGTCAGAGATGGGGGAAATAACTTTTCCTGGATCACACCTCCCAGAGTATTTCAGATACCATGGTTGCCGGTCATGATAGTAGCTCAGATATTTGAGAGACGATGTTCCGAAACAATTTTTCTCAACTCAGAATAGCGTTCATAGGGATGAGTACAACCAACATATTAATTTTATGTTGCACCACTGAACTGCTGCGATCACAAGTCACAAGGGTTCACCAGCGGTAGACGGCTGCTGGCTGCAAGCACTCACAACTCCGCAGTTCACACACTGGGTTCAACTACAAAGATGCAGACCTATGGATAAGTAAGATAGCTCGGGTGAAGAAAAGACTTACTACATGACTAGACAAGGAGGTTTATAATCAGTGGAGAGTAACTGGCTGGATTTCAGATTAGGCATCCTTCAGTCTCAAGAGACTAACATGCTCTGTACAGAGGTCTTGGAACAGCATCTGGTGTGGCTGAGAAGACCAATTCGAGAGTGACAATCCCTTCCACACTGAAGGCAAATACAATCTGCCCCCTGTTCAGCTCTCTGATTTGGCTGCTTCCGGTACTGCCTCTTTGCCTTGGCCTGCTGGACAAGAGTCTCTTCAAATTGGGAGAGGCCGTGACGTAACGCCTGCTCAGATGTCAGGGTTTGATACCAAAAATGCATCGGAGACAACACATCTGGAAGGTGTTCAACTTCCTCTCCTGACGTGCACAAAGGGTCCAGGACTCACTGCAGGACAGGAGTGTGCTCAGGACACAGGCTCTATAGACCTGGATAGCTCCTCTATAGAACTGTTCACTAAAGAACTGGCTGGATAGCTCAGTGCATTAGGCAATTGGCAGCAGAGCCACAGGTTAGGAGTTTGATTCCCCACTGGGCTTCCAGGGAGAAGAGCCAGCCTGGGTGGCCTTGGGCAAGCTGCACAGTCCCAGGTCTCCCCCCTAGAGGAAGAGAATGGTAATGCACTTCTAAATATTCTCTACCTCGAAAATTCTGAAAAGGGTTGTTGTGAGCAGCCCCCCCAGTGCCCCCCTCCATAATGACATGATGAGTACTCGCAGACACAATCTCTTTCTTAGAGTAATGTAACTTCTTAAAGGGCCAACGGAGCCAAGCAACAGAACTTAAGCACTTTAGGGTGCCAGGGAATAGATTTCCCTCCCGAAGTATTTTTGGGGAGGGAAATCCCTTAGTAAGGTGTTCACTGGGAGGAACAGAGCCCCATCTCCTCTCCTAGTTGCAGGAGACCCTTCAGGTGTGCCAGGTACGGAGTGTCACAACATGGGTGTTATACATGCACAGAGTTGGGTATCTCTAGAGGTGAGTACCAAAGGCTCCTTCCCCCACTGTGCCTCCACAGCCGCCACTGACAGCAGCCGCCCCACAGGAGTGGTGATCCTCTTGAGAGGCAAAGGCAAACTCTACCCAACCTGGCTGGGCTGTCTGGTGTCGCTGGCGCAGAATGAAGAGGAAGTACAAGAGGAAGGGCATAGAACTGGCCATGGGTAGGCTGGCTGGGAGGTCTCTGCTGCAGGGCCGCTTGCTCCTGCTGCATCCTCTGCCGGTGGTGTGCCCATCTTTGGTTCTTGAGCTTCTGAGCCTCTCATTGCCTGGCTTCGTCTTGGTGAACCTGGGCAGCCTCCTCAGGTGGGCACCAGCAGTTCAACCCAAGCCCAATGTCCAGGATCACAGTGGCAAACAGTCTCCAGCTGACTATTGATTGCTTTGGCAATGGCACCACCTCTTGGGCCTCAGATGCCTCCCAGTCCATGGTGTCAGCCCGACAGCCCTCCTCTCCCGCCTCACTCACCCCTTTAAATCCCATCTCAGCCATGGCTACTCAGCCTGCGGTCTTGGGGGCACCGTCCACCACCAACACCAACGCCCCAGTCCATAAACTGCAGAGTGGGACTCTCTCTGATTCTTCGGGAAGCAGAGAGCTCACTCTCAAGGGCAGGGGCATTGTTGCTGGTCCCACAATTGCGACAAGTCACAATTGACATGAGTCTTTATTATCATTGGAAATGGCAACATGAGGCATGTGCCACGTGTGAATCAGCGGAGACCTTCATTTTCTGTTGTCAGCCCTCTGAATATTCTAATCCGATGTATTTCGCAACACCCATTTCAACATTCTTTGTTCCAGGAGCTGGTTTCACACCTAGGTGTACATCGTTCATTTCCCACCTAGTAAAGCTGTCTACTACAATGTCAGATCTGTGATGGTCTTTTCACACGTTCCTTGCTTCGGCTCGAAATGGGACTTGCACACAGACCCTTGGGGAGGAGGGCGGCAGGGACATTTGGCTCAAGCCTTAAAGGCAAGTTGTGTACAGATCTGGGCTGCTGTTCAGTAGCAAATTTGTTCAAGTTGCGCTCTGCCCCATGCAAAAATCAGGGTGTCCCCTGTTAGCTTGCATCTGCTGGTCTCTTTGATCAGTAGCTGCCAATTTTGGTACCCAGGACCATTGCACTAGTTCCTACCTCTTTCAAGGAAGAGGAGAGTTTGTCCCTCCCCCACCCCCAAAGAGGAAAAGCAGGCTTATTTTTTTAAAAAAAGAAATGGGAAGTGAATGCAACCAGGAATATGCCCCATCCCCGAATTCATTAGTAGATTTACTTCTAGATTTCAGTCTACTTGAACGTTTTGTGCTCTTGGAAAAAAACATTAAGTTGGTGAACCATAGTTACGGCCAAGCTCCTCACCAGAGTGGTATTAGCGGCTCACTTCCTCCTTAGTCAACATCTCAGCCTTGTCTCAGCATTAAACCCTAGCCGAAAAGGGAATCAGACACACACAATTTCTTCTCAATATAACAGGGCTTTTTTTAAAGCCCAAGCTAGACAGACATTTCTGAACAAAAAATAGTTTTTTTAAAAAGCTTATTTAGATTCATCAGACCTTCTTTCCTTTTTTTCAGAAACATGACAGTACATTTAGTTAACCGATAATTTTCTCCCAGTGATGGGCAATGTCGAGAGCATTTCAGGCAGGCAGCATTTTCACGGCACATGTTGAGGTGTGTAGAGTACACTGCCATAGGTGAGAAAATGCCTGTTCTTCTGCACACTCACAAAGGATTGTGTTGGTGCAAACCTTCCATTTTCCTTAGGTTCATCTTGGCTCTGTGCAAATTCAGCTGCACCAACATTCTGTTCTAGGGCAGTGAATCCTGTATAGATGAGAAATCAGCCCCAAATTAGCAAGAAACAAGACAAAAAAAGCTTAAATGGATTCCTGTTGACTT